GCGAGGGGAGGCTGCGTCCTCCCTGGCCTGAGCTGCTGCTTATCGCTTGCGGCCAAGGGCGCTTTGGCGCTGGTCCCTACACATCGGCAGAGCTGCTTGTGCTGTGCCCGTTCCTGCATTTACAAAACCTGAAGTTATTTTGCCTTGGAATGCTTTGGATGGGTGTTCCTAATCAGCCCAACACGCTGGTGGCACTAAAAGGGCCCTGGGCAATATGGAAACTGCTGCTGTTCTTCAGAAATGGTCTTCCGTGAAGGAACAAGAAACAGGTCAATTTTTCCCCAAACCAGTGTGACAAAGTGTTGTGGGCAGCAGTGGTAATAACACATCTACTAGTGATGCTGGAATTGCCAGCAGTACAAGTCTGGAAAACATAATTTGTACTATGTTTTTTTATGTGAAAATAATAGAGCATCACACAACTGGCCACAGTATTTTTTAATGGCCGTGACAGAACCAAAAGCCTATTCTAATGGTCAGATGATACCAGTTCCTGAGGTCCGTGTATGTAATACACAATATAAAAACAAAGAGAACCCTGCTTGCCAGAATACTAGATTTCCACCTTTCTCATGTGGCTCAGAGCCTGCTAACCTAAAATTTCAGATTTCCTGTGGAGCACTGTCTGTAAGCTCCATCAGTTGCCTTAAACACACAACAACTTAAATCAATGCCTGGCTTGTTAGCTCAGTTTTATCCAACCAAAAAGCACTTCCGGTTAGGAAAGTTTGATAATCTTGATAAATAACTTTACATCAGGCACATTGTGTAAAGGTGGGGACTGTAAAAGTGGTTATCACAGTGAGAAGAACTAACAGGCTTCACTTGTGTTCAGATTACATCCTGTAGTTATTTAGATCATTAACATTCTGCCAGCTAATCAAGGCCTAGCTGAGAAACATGAGCCTCTCTGCACATTAATTTGACCAAGAAAACTTGAAACATTATTAAATATCTGACAGTAAGTACTTTCCATGGGCAAAAATATATTCTGAAAAGTGATTCTTTTTGATTTCAAGATAACTCTGAACTTTGGACAGATCATGTTTTCTAGGAGGGAGGGTTAAGGACGTTTTGTTCCCCATCACTAACATTGCCAAATCAAACACATTTGGATAACCTGGAGCAGCCTTTGATTTGAGATGGATCTATCACATGGAATGATTCTCAAGGGCATACTATAGAAATGAAAGTGAGATGTAAAAGAAGTATGTTGAATACTGGGGCTTGCAAATGGTTTTACTTAGTTGTGCACTTAATTTGTGTAATGGAATAAAAACCAGTTTATACAAATACTGGCTTCTAATGAACTTCTCTTTCTCTTATTTAAGGCTAACTGCTTTTCCAAATATTCAAAAGCTCCAGTAATATGCAAGTTGGTTGGAAGGAAAGTCCTTGATGGAGTTGGTCGACCGACATTAGAAGTGGAAATATACTGCATAATTAAAAATTATGAGAAGGTATGAGCTAAGTCTTTCTGTCTTGTTTATCTCAATAAGATACTACTAGGGATAGGTACTCCTACTGTCATCCTAATGAACGTTTTAGTTTCTGTCTTAAATGAGAGGCTATGACTCCACGTGACTTAATAGTTGAACAAATGGTCCTTGCAGTGTAAAAAAAAATAACATGAAAGGTTTGATGAATAACAGCAACTATACGAACTTCATTCTTCAAGAATTAAATAATATGCTCCTGTGTTTTGTGAACCATATACAACAGTGTATCTTTGCCTTTTAAAATTTGTCTTACAGTATATCATGGTACATTTTCTTGCATCCCACAGCCAACTGTTTTAAGTTCATTTTTCTAGTACATTTTTTTGTTTTATTCTCAAAATGTTATATTTTATTGCTACAGCACTGTTTAAAAATATAATATAGTATTGAAATAGTATAACTGAAAGAATTTTTAGCAATTTTGAACAAATAGGTTGATGTGTGTGATAGTTAAGTCAAACATACCTATATAAGCACCTGCAGTGCAAAACTAATGCTGCCTTTCCCCTCTACCTGAAATATCCAAAATTACTCTGTTTGTAGCTCCTAATACTGTAGAATAGTTGTTTTCACTTTCCTACAGTTAAACTATGAATCACTACGCTTTTGATACTAAACAGGAAACAATTTAAAGAAATTATGTACTATTAAGAAATTATATATGCTTTCAAAGGTATTCTTAGTACCTAAAGTTAGTATTATGAATGTAGCAAGCTCTGTGATCTCTGTTAATGACTTCTGCATTAAGTGCCTTAAAAATATTGTTTATCCATGTGGAAATAAATGTTTAAACAATTAAGACAAAATGTAAGCATGAACGATGGCACTAAATATGAATGGCAATAAAGCATGGTGCAAGACTGCCAACAGCTGCAATAAGAGATGTTATAATGACAGAATAGCCATAAAAATTAGCTCTTTGAGTTTGGAGATAGGTACTTGTAGAAGAAGTAAGGGATGTATTCCTCTATTCTTTCTAGCTTAGAAATGAAGGGTGTTTTTATGCCTTTTGACACTATTTTACAGAGGGTTTGTTCCACTGTAATCTCTTCTCATTCTCAAATTCTTGAAAATGCTTTATCTGAAGCAACTGAGGCTGATGAGAAGGAAAGAAATGATTCTGTTAACACTGCTGTGGAATGGGTGAATGAATCTCTGAACACATTGCTAAGAGACTTGAAGCCCACTGAGCAGTGTGAAGTTGATAAGATACTTGGGTAAGGTTTGCCCTTTTATTTTGTAGCAGCACAAAGCAATAGCAAAAAAATTATTGCATTTGAAATATATACTACATATGGATATATGTAATGAAAACATGTTCAATAGTCCATATGGTTTCTAATGTTGCTCTTCATATATTTTTAGGATGTGATGGCCGTCTCAGGTACATTGCACTATCCTATTTCCTAGTGCTTTAAATTATGATTAAATGATATGAAAATCGTGACACCTTGTACAAAAGCTCATGGAAATTGGAATAGTGTGGGATGGAAAGTAGAAGTCTCTAAGAAAAAAAAATATATAGACACATGTTCATGAGCAGAGATAAAGAATTAAGGTGAAGAAATTCATTCAGTGCCAGTTTAAATCTGTGGCGGCCTTTCTGTTCATTGCACTGGAGAAAACAAGTGGTATGAAAGGGCTGTCTGTATGCACTTAAGCAGCACACATAAATCCACATAAAACCATATATATGTACCTATATTTGTATACACACACATGTATTGCGTAAGTATTCTTGCTATATGTATGTGTGGATACAGATACACACACATATATTTATGTATATATGTTTAATTTTAGCTGATTTTTGTGTATTCAATTGGAAACATAATTTCTCTAATAAACACTTGTCTATCTTTTTTATGTAAAGATTTGTTAGGAGAGTATTACAGTAGAAAGAAAGAAAAAGAAAAGATATGTTTTCCCTTAAAAAGAAATATATCTGTCATTCATAGTTGGAGGGGCAGGGATAAATGTAGGGTAAAAGCATCACAAGTATATCCAAATATCCAAATACTAGAGTATTAAAGAAACTACCTTGCAGCATTACATCTGTGTTCATCCTGGTGGACGGTTTCCATTGGTGGTTGAAATTCAGCCACCCCAGAGATTGTAGCCTCTTAGGTAAAACAGTGCACAACTGACCTGTTTTATTAGCAGCATAGGCCAAGTTTTGTATGCCATAAAGTTATTAGAATATCCTTTATCCATGTGTCTGAATGGAGCTCCCTTTAAAAGTATGCGTTAAGGCTTATAATGCTTGTAGTACAATTGTCTGTCAGTGTTACAGATGACTAAAATAAGTTATTTATTGATTCCTCCAGCTTCACACGATGCGTGTGTGGCAGAAGCTCCAATAGATGCACTTAATCTGCCTCCCAGCATGTCCTTTAGCCAGTATCCTGTATCTGCTTTTCATACACCTAAAAATATTTTGAGCCACTAATCATTATGTCTTTTCCCTCAGTGAATATTTTATAAAAAAAGTTGAAGAAGAAAAAGAAATTCAAAGGGAAAAAGAAGAAGAAGAAGAAGAAGCTGTTCCTCCCCTTCCTTCATGTGTTCCACCAACAACTGCACTATCTGGGGGAAAAAAGGGTTTTAGTTGATTTTTTTTATAATATTTTCTTCAATGTAAATATTGATAAAGATGCTAATATACTTTCTGAAGTATCCAATGGGCACTAAAAGTGATATCACTTCTTCAGAAAATTGGATTCATGTGTCCTAACTCATCTTTCTGATCACAGCAGTCTCTACTACAGAACTGGGAGGGGAAATACAATGTTTTCTCATCATTCACACGCGTTGGTTGAACAGAGTTTCTGCCTTTTGTTTTACAATTGGCTTAGACAGGAGGTTATTACTCTGCAGGGTGAGGAATAAGAATGGAGGAGGATGCAAATGAAGAATAGAAATGAAAATGATAAGGAAAGAAAAAGAAATCATAGAACTGAAAAGGACAATAGAAACAGTTTGAAGTTAGTAGTTTAAAAGAGTGGGAAGAGAAAGGAATGATAGCAAGTTGCTCACTAACATAATAAGAAATGGAAGAAATAAAGATGAAAAGTGAAGTAGAGTAGAAGGAAGGGAAAGAAATGAATAAGCCAGTACAGAGTGAAAAAGAAATAAGCAAAAAAGTTGCATGCTGCCTGTGTGTATTATTGGCAAAAAGAAAAGAAAATCTTCCTGTTACCTGTTCTTTTAAGAGCAGGAAAGTCTGACAAACAATTATTATCGGCATAGTTTCAATTATTCTATAATGTCAGTAGAACCTCCCACTTAATGTGTTAGATGTGTGTACATTAGATTTACCTTTCACCTGAAAGATAATTATAGCTGTCAGATCCAGACAGGTGTCATTAGGCCTTGCAGTATGCTTTTAGTCATTATTCTTCTTATAAATAAGTTACCTGGTGTAATCTGTTCCAATCTGGTTGTGCCATTGTCAATAATATTGTTAGAAACAATATTTGACTAATTTGTCCTTAGAGTAGAGCTGTAACAACTAGTGAATTCCATTAGCAGGTGCTTTAAGAGGTGGCACCTATGCTGTAATTTAGGCAGGTTAAAAACTAGTGCCCTGCAAGACTGCAGCTCCTTAGTGTTGCTCAGTACCTCGTGGCTGATGCACTGTGCATGTGACTGTCCTCTGTAAGCAGTGTGAATCTGTATATGGAAGGGGAATTGGTGTATAATCTGTATATGCAGCTGAAGTCCTATTAGGCGTATTTTATCTTTAAATTTTCTAGTTGTATCCTGCAGTGTTTCTGTTTTATTGTTGAAAACCTCTACAGCAAAGGGAAAGTTTGTATGAAGTTCCTCCTAGGAATTAAAGTAGCTGGTCAGATATATTTTTAAAAGTACTCGAAGTATATGATTTCTGAGAATCATACCACTTATTTTAGCTTCTTATAAGTGCTTTCTACACATTATGTAGGAACTGCAGTTAATAAGCATGAAAGTGAGAGCTGCCAGGCTTGAGACATTTTAACAAAACTTATTCTACTGTATCAGAAAGGGAAATAAGTTTTGGGGGTAATTTAATGTGACATTGTGTGTGAAATATTTTGGATGTCTTTTAAAATTGTTTAAAAATTTGACCTTAATATGGCTACATTTTTTCCTCACTATTATAAGAAGAAATCAAGTACATGTACTCCTAGTCAGCTTATAATGTATTATTCCAAGGTACTATGAAAGGAACTTGAAGGATGAGATGGTAATACTGCATATAAGTACAGATAAATAAAATATTACAGGTATCAGTGGCAGAAAGATCTCTAAAAATCTAAAAATAGATTTTAAAATCAGAGTGAGAAAAGATACTTTGCCTACTTGTAAGGTAACTTTGTGTATGAAAAAATCAGCAAGATAATTACCAAAAAAATGAATTATTTTGTAGTACATTTAGTACATACAGCAATGGCAGTATTGTATTTACTCCTACAAGTGTGATATATAAATGCAGGTATTTTAAAGCAAGAAAATACATAGCCAGTGTTCTCCATCCTGTAGGGAAGACGGTGTTGGGTGCAGAGAGAACGATCCCACCTGAGGAGCCCACGGAATCGGTGCTTCGGGGCAGCTCAGCCATTGGGGCAACGTCACTTGCTGCAGCTAAGGCAGGGGCTGCTATTAGCCATATCCCCCTGTACTCATACATTGCACTGCTGAAACGTGATCAGGTACATGTGAATATTTCATAATTCTGATTGTTTTTCTGAGTTAATCACAGTTATTCTAAGATTCTGTACAGTCCTTGGTCCAAACTGATATTAAATATACCTAATAAAATATATCCTCGATTCCATTTACTAAAGCTGGCTTGAACTAGCCCTGTGCTGTAATGAACACATGCAAGAAGTGGTTAAGATTTTTAACGTTTTTATTTTTACATAATAATCTCAGTTACAGGATTCACCTAAGGAATTGGCTGTGCCTCTGCCAATGGTTAGTCTTTTGAACTGTGGGAAATTTTCACCTGGAAAACTGAAACTAATGAAGGAAATTATGCTCATACCACCAGTTCAGTTATCACTCAAAGAGGTACGGTTTCATTTTGACTTTTTTAAACATGTTCTGTAGATTTTATACACATCAGTATAAAGATCTTTTCAACACTATCCTTAGAAATGTTGTTTTTCATTTCTGTTTATTTGTGTAATAAATACTAAAGCAGAATTATGAGACATGGAATGTTATACAGGCAAATAAATGCCATTTTAAATGAAGATACATGAAGATTTAAAGTTAAAAATGCATGTATCAGTATACAGCAAAAAAATAAGGACAATGAAGATGGCAGAGAGGATTTCTATAATACAACAGTAACAGGCTTTAATTCTGCTTAATATGTGATTTTACATTCATATGTTATAATTAGTTTTATCATCTGATTCATAGAACATAGAAAACTCTCATATCTGTCAAAAATCCACAATAAAGCATAGAATCATAAATTGTTTTTAAAATGAAATTGTCAAGGCAGAAGCAGAGCAAAATGATTTGAAGGGTGGATGACAGAGTTGATCAGCAATCCCTTTTTGTCTAACCATGTGTTGCATTAAAGAAAGTATCCGCACAGATGCCTGCATTAAAGCTGTCATTTCTACTTGGTGTGCAGGTGACCTGAACAAGTAGCTGAACTTGATTCTCTTTAACTTAGAGAAATGTCACAAGAGCTCATAATAAGGTGCCCAGCTCTGTACCTCTCAAAGAAATAATGTTCCTAGTGCCTGTGGGAGGGTGGCAGTGCAGCTTGAAGCACCGTGAGGAACGGCAAGCCCTCATGACACCTTGTTGAATGGGGCTGACTTCTGCCCCCTTCAGCACCCCCACGCTGGCAGGGGCTCGCAAAAGGTGAAGCAGTGTGAGCTAGCAAGTTAGCAGGAAACTTTCCATAGTCCGCGGAAAAGGGAAGAGTCTTCTGGTAAATAAATGTATCACTTAATTGGAGTGTTCTTCCATTCCCCTATGTTGAAAACAAACATAACATTTTTTTTCTCTGTTTCCTGAATATTTTGTAGAGCTAAATACGTTCATTTTTGTGAGAGTTTGTGAGAGTTTTGTGAGAGTTCTTCCCAGGCGGAACCCCTAGAGAGAGTCACAATTGTGGATGGTGATTACAGTCTTCCTGCTCTCAGATACTCAGCACACCAGGACATTGCCCACTTGGCAGATGTGGGAAGGGCTCCTTTGGGGGAAAACCAGATCATTTTCCTCACTTTCCAATTTAGCAGCCCTACCAAACGTTCTTGTGCATTCCGCTTCTACTAACCCATTATCATTGGACATTTGACTGTGTTTTGTAGGTGGGAGGTTGTGTTAAGGAATTTTATTATAGTTAAGAAAAAAAAGACTTTATGCTAGGGTCTGCATTTAGAAGAAGCATCCTCTCCCTTCAGACTTATACTGCTAGAATAAAATTGGTTTATCTTTGAAGAATATTATTGTTTAATTTGCAGAGTATAGAAAGGGCTCTGGATATTCAGAGAGAAGTGGTGAAGCTGTTGGAGGCTCCATGCAAAGGGGTAAGAAAAGTGTTCCTTGGTTAGCCTTTCTACTGCTTGAAGATGGGAGACTTAGCACGTTACCAGGTTTAGTCTGATCGCACAGTATAGAAGATGTGTTTCTCTAACAGATGAGTAAAACCTCATTAATTGCCTTTTGGTGCAATTAATGAAAATAGAATAAAACACTTTTCTAAGCATGAGAAGACTTTCATTATTTATATCAGAAAAAGTACAGTAAGAAGAAATGATGTCCTAGTGAATATATAGAACATGCTTCAGGTCATGCGAAGCCTTACATGCAGGCAAGGTGGAGCCTTGAAGGCATTGTGCCTCTAGTGGCATACCAAGCCCAGTATGTGCTTTTTGCAAAGGGACATAGCTGGCATTCCTCAAGCAGAGATCCCATATTACCATTCTTGAGAGCCCATATCCTGTTAATAGGGAAGGTGGCAACGTTAAGAAAAACGAGTGATGGATATTTGCAATCTCATTATACCAAAATTCTGTCAACTTTCAGTTGAAGGCTCTTGTTATTGGATTTTTTGCGAATCTGGTTCCTTGTTTCTTTCTCCCTTCATTCCCAACAGCCCAGTCCTCAGCCAGCAGACAAGAAGAAAAGTGGGGTGCATGGTACAGGGAGGAAAGTTCTGGTAAGAAAAGAGATTTTCCTCTTAAGTCTTCAGTGTGTTATTAAAAACAGCAGGGAACCAAAACATTCTTAAGATATGAAACATTAATTTCCATTACCATCTTGGAAAGGTCAAGGCAAGATTTTTAGTATTTCACATGCCCACATTTTATATAATAATTTGGAGTCTTCTGACTATGCCTTCCTTTCCCATGGAATAATGGCAGAAAGGAGAAATTATTCTGGAATCCAGTATTTTTTTTAATACAGGAATCCTGATAAGTCATCCAGTTGAGCATTTTGCAAGCCTGCAGCACCAGCAGAGAACATGAGCCTTTGATCATGCAGGCTGTAAAACTATGACCTGCAAGACCTGTCATTCCGCACTGTGTCCGAACCCGGGAAGCACAATTCCGCTCTTAATCACGCAGCATTAAATGCCCAGTTCCTGTGTGACGTGACAGACAACGGCAGATACGAGCCCTTAGTTAAAAGGGCAGCACTCACAATCATGCACAGAACATTATTTTATATAATTCAATGATCTTTGCCTTTTTCACTTCCAAACCTGTAGTTTACATATGAATTTTCCAAAGGGGGGGATAGAAATGCCATGCTGATTGTGCTTCTCAGAATACTACAGGATTATCAGGTGAGAATTGTTGCTGTTGTGGGGTTCACAGAAGAGGAGCAGAAATTTTCTTATGGTTTTGTTGCTCAGAAGACGTAACAGTCTTCATCAGCTGACTAGCCACCATTTTTCTGTGATTAATCATGTATTTTCTGCATTCTTATAGCAAGTTAAAATAATTCCTTCAGATGAGCACAAAGAAGCCATGCATTAGATTCTCTGAAATCCTCCTGTTTATTTCAATAGGAAAAAATCAAAGAAGGTATTGTTGGAACTGAATATGAAACTGGTAAAAGTGCTATGCTAGTTCATACCAGTTTCTTTTTTTCTTTATTGCTTTTTCTTTAAAAGGGGGGAAAATGACAATGTAGCAGTGAAAAATTAAAACAATAAAAGTTGCAGTTATTATTTTTTCAGCATAGCAGATCTTTAGAAGGAAGGGTTGTCAGCTCAAGTTTCTAGGGCTTTGCTTTACAATAGTGAAAATTTCAAGGAGACTCATTTTGGACTGGAGGTAATTGCATAAATTTTGTTTCTGGCATTTACTGTGCAGTCTATAAATGCTTATGAAATGCTTATTGTGCTTATGAAACACTTTTTTTGCTTAAAGCACATTTTAAGCCAATTGAATTATCTTTATTATGATAAATCTTTATTATCTTTATTATGATTCAATAGTTTTTCCTTTGTTTTGTTGGTTTGTTTGAGCACGTGTTTTGTTTCCTTGTTTGAACATTAATGCTAGAAGAAACTTAAGCAATAACAGTCAAGACAAAATAAATATTTCTATAAAGCTGTATAGTGCTTCTAATAGAATATAACAAGGCACACCACATGGGGAGAAATCACATGAAAATGGAAACTTAAACTCTATCTTACGCTAAATTCAAGCAGACTGCAGCATTTCTTACTGTCTGCTGCAGCAGTTTACCACTTTGAAAAATACAGGTCAAAGAGATTGTCCCTCCCTTCTTACAAATTGCTACAATTGTGTTTTCTTTTAAATTTTTTATGTGGAAGAACATTTCAGTATTCTCCATAGCCAGATCGGCCCCATCCAGTGTAGTTAGTTCCCTAATTCTGCTCAATAATTCAGCCTTCCAGCTGACTCCTCCAGTCAAACTCGGGACTATCTACTGCCCATTGCCATCAGTGTCATTTGTTTTTTATAATCCATATTCCACAGATTTTAAAGTTAAATTCAGTGTTTAAAGTTAAATTCAGTGTCTAAAAACCTTTAAAATGGCTGGAAACATCTGCCATGACTGCCATGTCAATCTGCTTGTGACTGGTGCCCAGAAATACTGTTCTGGGGACAGACAATTCTCCAAAAGGATACAGCTCTGCTAGTGACACTTCCCTTCTAGAGAATTTCTTCCCTCCAGAAGGCTTGAAATACTGTGGTGTTTTTTGAATGCTCCAAGGAGGCAATATCAAAATTGTAAATATGGATGACTGAAGTAAAACTGAAATGACAGGGATTACAGTCTGATATATATAAAATTACTAATAAAGTGATTGTTTCTGTTTTATTTGCAGCCACCAGCCATAAAAAGAATATCACACTTAGGCTGCCTTGTAACAGGATTTGATAACCTAGAACAACCTCTGCTCCTGATTCAAGCAGCTTGCAGTAACATAGGTCTGGAGCTAGGAACAGACATGTACTTAGCAATAAATTGTGCTGCTCATGAATTGATAGATTACGTAAGTATTTTTAGTGTCAAAATAGATATGTCTCTGCCAGCCAGGCTTACTTCTGTTCTCTGCTTATTTATTTATTACGATATTTCTGATCAATGCATGTCAAAAACAGCAAGCTTTTATTGTGCGGACACGCAGTGTGTAACCAGCTCCACTTCACATATGCCCTAAGACTATTTTGAATTAATGTATTAAGTGGCAAATACTGTTTTTTTTTTTTTTTTTTTATTCTTCCATAGGGTGTAAATAAAATAATTGTATTCTATCCACACAGCTTTCAAAATGGAAGAACAAGAAACTTCTTACGCTTTTATAATTCCGCCACATCCCTCACCGCTTATTTCACCATTTTATTACACCGCATCTGTTATTTTCTTCAAAATACCCTCCTTGTCTATATATTTTTACTATAGATGTATGTAGCCTCTAACATTCACTTAATTATGTGCCTGCATTCATTTTTAGTTTGTTTCATGAGATTCTGTATGTTTGGGTTTACTGTAATGTCAAACTTAATATATGATCTTTTGCCAAAATAGTATGATGTATATATACTAGAATGAGCAAAATCTTAACCAAAGAATTATTAGTAATTTTGTAACTTTTTAGTATGGAACTGGTAAAGTGATTAAAGCAATGCCGATTCAGGCACAGTTTGACAGTCTGCCTTGTAATAACCTGTGTATATGACAGTTCATGGTTCCCAAAATAATGAAATAATGATATTAGTTTTAAACTCTTCTTTTTTTCTTTTTTTTTTTGAACGGAGAAAGAAAGGCTCTGTCTTCTTATTTTTGAGCATCAAGGGTGTGCTCTTTCCACATATTAGTATATTTTAATGAAGATGAGGACTAAAAGCAACCCTTTTAAGTGAAAGTGAGATTTTTTTCATGCATGATTTAATAAAATTAACAACTTTTTGATAAAACTGTGTAGACTGGCAGTGCTGCCCAAGAAATGCTGATACAGATTTTGGTCCACTTTTTGGGGAGTGGTACCTGTCAGAGAGTTTGGTCTGAGCTAGTTGGAACCCACAGTTACATTAGAGAGGGGTTGTTAAAGTCCTACCATTCTCATCTTTTACATTTTTACTTTATTTTCTAGCATAAAGGAAAATACGAAGTTATCACTGGAACATTCAAAAGTCCTGATGAAATGGTTGATATGTATGTGGAACTGATTGCTAATTTTCCTTCTATTATTGCATTAGTGGATCCCTTAAGAAAAGAGGTAAGTTTATGTAAGAACTTACTGCAGAGCAGGCATCCCAAATTGATAACTACTATAAGTGGAATATTACTGGACTTTTCTGATTTTTCTAAGGTATTTATAGGAAATAAAACAGGCAGTGTTGTTGTCATCTGTTTTCAGGGCCCAGGGACAGAGAAATATCATCACTATACAAATGTATAATTTACTTTAATCTCTGTAATTGACAACAAATCTAAATAAACTTGCATGCACATTTGACAATTCTTGATAGAAAATAATCTTGGCATGGATATTAAGTATAAATATTTTGAAGAAATACAAGAAAGTGCAATTTAGTGTTGTAAATCACTGTCATTTTACTCACACTTTCCTTCTTATGTAAACAAGAAAAAAATCAAATTATATTATAAATTTTAAATTGTAAAATTATATTGAGATATATATGTTCTATATACATTTTTTTAGAAGAAACTAAATGGCCGTGGATGTCATTGTACCTGTCTTAGACCTGCTCAAAATAAAAGAAATAAATGCAATTCTGCATGAATGAGATTTAAACCCGAAGCCAGAATAAACCTGAAATTGACATCAACAAAATTTTTGAAGTGGCAGGAAGGCAGCTTGTATTTACCCGCATGATCAAAGCATCATGAGTTAACTGAGTGTGGCCAGTGGATTACAACAATAAAATACAATACTATTAATTATGTAATCAGGGTATAGATGGATCAAAGAAACTGAATGCATAACTTAAAAACAGAATCATATATAAGCATGCTAATATTTAACGGATTGCAAAAAAGATAAAACTTAGTTGTAGCACAAGCTACAACTCTAGCCCTATATTCTACAGTTGCATACCTTAACCAAAACTATTTCTGGCTGTGGAACTGTGCATTAGACTCATTATTGCCTTTAAAACAAATAAAGGCTTTTTGTTTTCATGTTTGGAACAAAACACCAAGAATGTGAATGAAGGGGAAAGCGAGGTGATGCTGTCTTTGTGAAGCTGCCTGAATCAATGATCCCGACAAGGATAAACTGCAAATTCTGTCTCAGTTTGTTCTTAATGGGAACTTAAGGCTCATGGTTCAAGTATCAGCTGTGGTCAGCCTGGCTTTCCCTCCCTGCTTCCAGCTGCCACCTTCCAAAACTCTGCATTATTCCTCTCTCCTGGCAGGGCTACGGACTTCCTCATGAATTCTTACGGAGAAGTGTATAGGCAATACAAAAATAAATAAATAATTAATTAAGGCATAATTATAGCAGACGGGAGGACATCCTAAATCAGATGACTGTTAAAGGCAGCAGCTCCCCCTGCCACTCACCTCCCCCTGAGCTGCCCCTGCCACATCTTTGCCACCGATAATGAGATCCTTGAGCTTTGCTACCGACGCACCAGTCCATGGCCAAGCAGCAGCCCACCCTAGTACCCAACCTGACCTCCTTGCCCAGGTGTCAGTCACTTCATTTTCACTAAAATACGTGCTTGAAAGCAGGGTAGGAGCAGCCCCTCACACATGGGCAAGAACGGACACAAAGGTGCGTGAGATCTGTAGATCGAGATTTACTAGATGCACAACAATGAACGAGCAAACGTATGTGCTTTTAATAGGGCATTCTGGGGACACACACAAAGCAAATTAAATTGTCAGTTTCTTATTTTGGATTATTTACTTATTTTTAACATTAAACCTAAAAAGCCTGTGAATATTGCACCAAAAATCAAGAAACAAAGATTCTAAATAATTGGAGGTTCTGTGTAAAGGGAGTTTTGTTAATTGCTGTTCCTTATGGGTCAATCTTACGGGTCTGATTTGCTGTTTTGGTATGTGTCACTGAGTTTATGTTTGCCCCCTGTTTTATTATTTCATATTTAATTAAATATTATGACATGTAAAATATTAACAAAAGAGACAACAATAAAAATTATTTTGTATTAAATTAAAACTTTTAAAAAAATAAATCTCAGGAATGAAATCAAAATAGCAAAATTCTACAGTTAATTTCATTTGCGATATCTAAAATTATACCAGTGTTCAACTAGCTTTTATTAATTCCAGACTATAATCTGTATTTTCTGGCAAAATCTTAAAATGCAAGCAAAATGCTGGTGATGGATTTTTATTACTAGTCACATTTAAAATAAAACAAATGTATACGAAGGGTACCTTCATGATGAAATCCAAATTAACTTCACCTTTGACATTTTTAACCTTCCGAATTAAGGATTGTGGTTGTTTTTTAAGACTCCAATTCCATGCGTGACTCTTTCTGCAGGACAGACAGCAGTGGGACAACGTGTGTGATGCCCTGGGTTCCCAGTGTCACCTGCTTGCTGAAGATGCAGCCATGGGTATTTCCAGACCTGTCACTGACCAAGATGTGAACTTGCCAAAATGCAGCGGCGCTGTCCTAAAATATCTTAATCAAACAAAGGTATCGGATCTCCTGGAACTTACTGGACTTCTGCACGGTAAGGGGGAAATAAAAGGCTGTTTTTCATACATTAGCAGTCAATAAATAGTGTTGCCCTACGTGTAAGTGCTCCTTAGTTTTATTTAAATATTTCACTTCTAATTCAGAAAGCGTCTGTCATGAGAAACTAGAATTCCTGATTGGGCTGTCAAATCTCTGTTTGGGATTTTAAAGTAGAATTCAGGGCTTCAACTACAGCAAACTAATACACTGTGGATGTTTGGAATGTGGGTACCCTTTGATGCAACTGTCAAACAAACAGCTTACATTTAGGTATCAGAATTAAACAAAATAAAACAAGTCATATAAATGAGAAATCTGAATTTTGACCAATACCAGGTAATAAAAAAAATTCAAACAAATCCAAAATGCCTAAAATCACAGTTTAAAAAGGTTATTGATTATATAATATTAAGCTTTTGTGGCTACAGTAATAAGTACTTGTGGAGGCTCATATGCGAGATTTTTCTTTGTATCAAATTTCTTCATTTTTATACCTGAGGAATAGTTTAATAAATTTAACATATCTAAATTCCCTTCCTATTCCTCGAAAAGCCCAGAATCGCTGTATCAAAGTAAGTAAAAAGCAACTTAAAATTTCATTCAATCATGATGGGGAACCAGTTTTCCTACCAACAAAAAAAATCACTGCTACACCAAGATGACATTTGAAAATACACAGAGCTGCATTCTAGCTCATCGAATACATTACCAAAAAGATTGACCAGAGCTAAGAATATTAGGTACAGCCTTATGCGTGCTGGAAAGAAACAAAAACATCCTGTTAATGCTGCTAGTGGAGCAAACTAACATGGTTCACTTTTTTATGAGATGCGTTGTATTGGTTTTAGTCCTGATTGCATTTAACCCTGTATAGCCCAAATAGGAAAAAAATAAAGTTCAAACAACTTCTATGTTGAACGTACAAAAACATTTACTAATGAAGGTTATACATTCCCATTACATATAGGTCAAAGACATATTACCATACTGGGGAGTCCTGATGGAGAATCTTCTGACGATAGCCTCGTGGATCTGGTAGGTACTGAAAGCTGTTCAAGGGCAGAAGTGCCAAAATGCTGCTTCTATCAGGGACTGGTTTGGGGGAGAAAGGCTGTTTCTGCGTGAGAAAGAAACAACCTTTGATGAAATGGGCTTTTTCTGGAGAGTTAGTTTTTCCCCCCACAGAGAGTTAATCTTTGGATTGAAGAGAAGATACAGGAAATGTGCCAAAGCAGGGGGTGTATTCAAAAGTGTATGATCTGTTTGTTGCTTTTGTTTATAAAAATGTGAATTACTTAAAATATTCCTGAATAGTAGTGATATTTGATACAAAAATTCTGAATGCTGATATATATTTAATCTGTTTGCATTAAAATAAAATTTGCAAATATCATTTCGTAGGCCAGTGAAAATTTGTTTGCATGCAACAACTCCTTGATTCATCAACAAGCTTTATTTCTCCTTACAGGAGCTTAGAAAGGTAATGAGTTTGTTAAGCTAGAAGCAGGATAACACATTAAATAATTAAGAATGACTTCACTTCCCAAACTGTAGAGAGCTTTCAAATACCCACTCTCTTGTCTTAAGGCTGTTGGACTGGGTGCCAAGTTTATCAAGTTGGGAGGTCTTTGCCGTGGAGAAAGGGTGACCAAGTACAACCGCCTCCTCGCTATAGAAGAAGAACTGGCCAAGAACAGCACGCTACGTACGAGCTTCTTTCTTACTTTGTTTTCAGCTTGCCATGAATACAAGAACAAAGATTGCAGGGCGAGTGATTGAAACTGCACGGCAGGAGGGAAACGGAATCAAAAGACTATAAATAAGTGCTGACAAAAAAACCTAGGACAGCACTTGCCACAATGTATATTGTTGTCCTAATGGATTATCTGTTTACTGAATGTTAAAATAGGACCCTTCTTGAGAAGTAGCCTACATTAAGTTTCTTTTTTTTTTTCAGAATTAATTGGTTAGAGTCTTGAAGCCCTTAGTGCAAAAGAAGCAAACAAACAAACAGACATATAACACACTGAAAAACTGATAAAAATGTAATTTTAGGGAGAAAAAAACAACTCCTTCAAGCTCCTAAGCATGAATTGCTAACAAAACTTTAGTTCACGAACATTTTATTACATTTGCAAATGAAATGTGTTGGGAAAAGAAGAACCAAAGTTCCTCAGCCACTTCCATGCATCCTTTTGCATTTCAGGATCTGAATGTTATTTTTCCATCATTTTCTACTCTGTTAAATGCTTACCAGTTCATTAGAGCCAATTCTCATTTGCTCAGGTATCAATCAAGAGAGAAGAATGCCTCCTTTTGGGAAGGGAAGCAGAGAGACCAAGGAGGGATCTGGGGCAGGGGTGTGGAAGGAAGGGAAGGAGAGTTTGCACAAATTAATTACAACTAAGAAATGGAAGAAAAATAAGGTGAATTAAGTCATTTACTGTCTTGTTTCTAGCCATTTTCCATGTTTGATACATAGGATAACTACACTGGACATGCAGACACATATTCCATTTTTATGCAAAATTTTTATTCAAAGATATTTTTTTACTAAACATCTCTCCTGTGTGTGTATAATTGAATCCAGTAGAAACCTACACAGAAATCCTTTTTTTTTTTTTTTTTTTTTTTAAGAACGTAATTTTAGATGAAGATTTCCAAACATAAGACAGATGATTATGAATGGTTATAAGCTTTAACTGCCTCAGTAACATTAAACTCTAACCTGTTTAAATGGGTATAGCCTTAATGAAAGAACTGAAGTTCAACAAATGCTTCACACTGTAACTCACATAAGAGTGGCCCTGTTGCTGCCTTTCAGCCCCGGGGCACCCAGGAGGGGCCCTGCAAACTAAACCACTGCCCCCACTGGGGCTGGCACCTTCCACAAGGAGCTGGGGAGGATAGGGAAGAGCAGAGGATCAGATCTGGGAGAAACTGCAGGGAGAAGAGAGGTTGTGGGAGCCACACAGGAATTTGATCTTATAATGAGGTTGTTAAGAGCTGGGGGAGAGATGAAACAAGGCCTGGGCACAGGTGGGGATGGTGGCTGGAGTGCCAGGGTAGGGGAGGGGTGTTCAGAAAAGGGAGGATGGACAGGCCCCAACGCCAATCTGACAGTTTCAAGAAGCCTAACACCATCTTTCTCTCTTTCTGTTCCCTTTCAGGGCGTGAAGCAAGCTTTGAATTTGTCAGTTTTGCTGCAGAACCAGAGCCGCTGTGTGAAGAAGGCCCTGGCCCGGAGCAGGGCTCCCCGCGGCCGCTCCAGCAGGCAGAGGACCTCGTGGCCCAGTCTGCACAGAGCAGCACTTCGGCTTAGCTTGTCCAGATTACCTTGGGGGAAAATTGCTAACAAACAGTAAGTTTAGTAAGAAATGTATCTATTCACTATTCTTCTATTTACTTACAAGCACGTTAGTTAGAATTCAGAAAGCGTTCACATACTGGCTGCTCTTTTCCCAGACTCTTACTGGGACTCTTCCTTCCCGCTGAAACCAAGCGAATGGGGCAGTGGTTATCGCTTGAAAATACCACAAAATTGTAGGCTGTAGTTACAGCTTGAAAAAACAAACACCTCTGTGTTAATTCCAAAAGTAAATGTTTGTTTTGAGAAAGCAGAAATCTCTCTCCATACAAAGAACAAGCCATTGACCAACGGGGAAAAAAAAAAAACATTTTACAAAAAACAAAGGCCTTGACTGTTATGTTGCTCCATCCCCCCATGCCCCCTCAATGCTGCTCTTAGATCCAGCCTACAAGGGAAATGTTGCTCCAGTTCTAGCCTGCTATCAACACAAGTGCATCAGTGCAAACCCCAAATGTAGGGCACAAAGCTGTAATTTGCATCAATAGGAAGCCTGCTTCTGTCTCAAGCAGGGAATAACAAGTCAAATTCACAAGGTCTGGGAAACTTGTCAGCAGTCTTTTTAATAAGCAACAGTGAAAAGATAAATAAATTGTATCTTAGGTAACAAATAGTTCAAGTAAAAGAAATGCTTGATAAAAAAACTTCTGCTTTTGTATCATTTGAACATATAAAACAATAGTAATAATCTGAAGGAAATACATATGTAAAATGGCAGATCTTAAATTCAGTGTAACAGATATCTAAGTGCAAAGTTAACCACCAGAAGGGGAGAAAAAACACAGAAATAAAGATATACAACAAAATTAGAGACAAATTTCCCCAAATTTAGGAATCATACGTAGTTCAGTAATCAGATCAAATTCAAGATCTTCTTAGCAAACATGCAAAAACACCAAAAAAGATGCGAAACTACCACACTCGTTACTATCATTTTATTTTTATGAAAAGCACCAGACAGTTGCATGCAGAGTCAAACCAGCAAACTCAAAACAGTCATCCTGTAGCACTATCACTGTTTTTGATCATTAAATAAAAAATAATCCAAATGCACCCATGTACGTGACCACCCAGTTTCAGCTACAGCAATCTGCTTTAGGTAGATCCCTGATTAATTTGTTCATTTGTTATAGAATAACGAGCTACAATGGAATGGGAATCAGCAGTGCAGGAAGTGCTGAAGCTATCACCCTGTCCTCCCTGGAAGGAAAGGCTGAGACAAATTGGCTTTTATTCAAATAAATTAATTCCACCACTTTATACAATGCTCAGAGTAAAGGCTCCTTCCTTAGTGGGTGTGATCTGGGAGTTCTCAAACTGCTGGTCCCCAATAACTTGTGCCACGCGCTCCAGCTGTCCCTGCTGGGCAGCGGGTTGGACTCCATGAGCCCTAGAGGTCCCTTCCAACCTCAGCCATTCTGTGATTCCGAGGGCTTTGAATTCTGTCATGACCAAATCCCCCACCTAGCCACTACTCACGCTTTGCAGGAGCCTATGATAAGTTTTTTGGTTTTAGGTTTGTTTTTTTTCCAGCACCTAAGGACTCCAGTTGCATCAGATCTAAACTTCATTATGTCGCATTAAAACACCCCGGCGGAGGAAGACCCTCCTTTGAGGAGCTTTTAACCCAAAGGAGAGCAGCAACCGCGGGCTCAGCTCCCGCTGCCCCAAGCGGCCTGCGCAGGGCAAACGGCCCACAGCAAAGTCTCAGGTTTGTGCTTTTAACTGGCAAAACAGCCTGTGCGGACACGGCAAAACGGAGCCCTGCAAGACCTTGTTCTTAATAAGTACATTTTTAAGGCAATGTGTCTCATCATTGATATAACCCCCCATTACTAAGGATGATTTTTGTGCATGATCCCCTTCTCAGGATCCAACCCAAAGCCCATTCAAGTCAAGAGAGATGCAAGGGGCTTCCAGCAAGCTTTAGAACAGACCTTTAAAAAGTATCTTTTTTCTTGAAAAGAATAATTTTAAAAAAGCTTTTCAAACACAGTTTTAGAAAAGAGGTAACTGACAGTATCTAGGAACATCTTAACTATAACCAGTGAAATTAAAATATGAAAGGGACCAAGTAATGCATAGTTATTTAACCCATTAAATGTATATAACAAAACTGCATTAAAAAGACCATTCCAACTGGTATTACTGAAAACCATTTGGAGTAAAGACTGTAGGCCCCAGCAACACACCTAAGCAGTTTACACGTCCAGATACAGATTCCTCAAAGGTACAGCCTTTTGGCAGAACAATTAACAACTAGAACTGTCGGTCTCCCTTATTTTCTCAACACTCGTTTCTTTGTGCAGGGCTTTACTTTTTTCCTCATTCCTTTTGCATGGATTGAGCACATTTCCCGACTCACTGCTGGTGGAAACAGGATCTAAAACGACGACGGATTCTGTCTCTTTTTCACTGGTGGAAACTTTTCTTGTAAATCCCATATGACTAGCTGACCTAGAGGGAAAAAGGAAAAATATACATGAATACAAAAAAGAGCTCCAGCCACCAAAGTGGGCAGGCAGAGAGCTGCTCCGGGCAGCAGCTCCTCCCTGTGCCAGCCCCACGGTTCAGCTCCCACGGGAAGCCTCCCTATGGAGCCACTTAATGCAACTGCATTCACTACCCAACAGCCGCATTTTATTTTTCTGCCTGCACATAAGGAATGGCCTCCACACAGATGCTGAAATAACGCTGTCGAAAGGAACAAGTTGAATCAAATATAGGGCAGGAGAAGAAATCCATGAAGTGGATCCCTCTGGTGTGGAACTGTCACAGTCTGGGCCTCAGGGTGGAAAACATAGAAAAAAGAGGTTGCCCCTCAACCATCAGAGCATGGGGCTGACAGCACTGGCTCCCACTGCCTAGAGGGGATAAAATATAATAATAATAATATAATAATATGCAGGCTTAAAAAAAAACACACACACACACAAAAATAATTTCTACTTCAGAAAGACTTTACCCAGCTGATTACCCAAGCAATGGATGTATCAAATGAGATTCCATGTGCGAGCTTTAATTACAAGAATTGTCTCCAACACAACAACTTGGGTACAAGAAATGGGTGCTAATAGATACAGTTGCAGGCTCGTTTGCTTATCATCAGGAGCTGGTGATTTCATAAGGAAAATAATGCCTGTTTTATGCAAAAGTTGCCAATCATTCTGGAAAATACAAGGTGGCATATTCTGAATGTTGTAGCAAATTAAACTTCTTAAAGCAGTATAACCAGAAGAGGGTTATTTTAAAAAGTGCTACCTCTGAAAAGCTGATTGCCCAACACCATAAAAATGGTCAAAGCCATAAATGCCAAGTTCATTTTTATTTCACTTTGGAGGTAACTATCTTTCAAATCCCAACAGCTGGACTATTTAATACAATCTGGGGAATCAAAGTCTAATTCTTGGGCGGGCTCCCAGCGGGGAGTCTGCATTAGTGCGTGGCAGCCGTCCAAGCCCGAGCGCGGCCAGCGCCCCCAGGTCCCTCTCGTTCGGAGCAGAAACGGATAAAACAGCAATCGTATTTACCACCTTCAAAGGACACAGAAATGAAAGATGTTGATATAGAGTCGTCTGATGGAGAAAACCAGTGATTAAATCGGTGTTTCAGGCATAAAAATAAGAATTACTATTTGGGCTCTTTTTTCCTAGCATTCCTCTCTCCAAACCCTTCACACTGTTGCTGCACAGGCCCCGGTGCTGCTGCAGACTCTGTGCCCTGTTCACCACGGAGTCCTAACTCCCTTTCAGCAGTCTGTCGAGGGCAGGATGCGGCCCAGCAAAGTCTCACTGCAAGAAGGAACGCAGTTTTCATGGTCTCTCTCTCAAAAGACAATTTTGCTGCTGTAAATAAAGCTGGGAAAGGCAACTAGTGCAGGTACCGTTCGCCACAGTTCTGAGCAGTTACAGTTCTGTCCAGCCAAGACATCTGCATCTAGCTCTGCATCCAGCTTCCTCGTTAGGCCCTTAGTGCTGTTAACAGTGTTCTTGCTCCTCGCTGGGCTAGCATTTAAGCCATAAAAATCCACACGTACTCATCCATACAGAATTATTGCAAGCCTGCATGCATCGCATTCTTACAGCTAAATGCACAAAATTCATACTGCAAAATCCAGATTCAGATGATATCCCATACAATTAATCTAAAATGGGTTTATGCGAGCTCCCGCGTAGTGCTGGGAAGGACTACTCAGGACACAGGAATATCGCAAGCACTATAATCCATTCCTGTATTTATAGAAGCTATAGAAAATGTAAAAGTCATGACTTGGTGATGACTGGGGGACCTGCGTCCCGGCATTTCTGGGCCTTCTGTAAGTAATTCACAGCCACGGTACGAATACATTGTGCGTGACACGCCGGGTGGACACCGTCCCGCTCAGGCAGGATGACCGAGGCCATCCCTGGTGCAGAAGACAGCGTTTGCAGGGACACTGAAATGCCTCTAATCTCTTAGCAAGGTAACATTGCTTTAAAACAAAAATAAAGTCATCTGGGGCTATTTCTTACTCCCCAAAACATGGTAATTGAAGCATTTTGCTAATTTCACAGTTATGCATCCCCAGTTGCTGTTTCGTATCACTTCAAGACCATGGCTGCATCTCAATAACAGCTTGTTTTTTCCTGCCCCATCCCTATTTTCCTGCAAGATCCCAGAGCTGAAGACAGACTTCCCACCTGTCCAACAGGCAGACAAGCGGTACCTACAGGCTACACAGAACAAGGTCTTTACTAAAAGAAGAAAATCTGCCATAGCAACGCATGTTTCAAATGGAAAAATTAAGGTCACACAAACTGTGATGCTAGTGAATTGTGTCTGTTGGTTCCTCAGGTCTTTCTTCCTCCTCCTTCTCCTCATACAAGGAACCTTCCCCATTTCAGGGATCCCTCCACTAAATCTAGCTGAGCAGAAGTTTGTCAACAGAGCAGCATAACACAATTAGCTTCAACGAGCTGGAGTAAATCGTGGGAAATTGTTCCCATTTCAGGCCATCTTCCTAGAAAATGCTCAAAAAAGGGGCAAATTATTTTAAATGAGGCATCTTGAAGTGCCACTACCCACACTGAGGGCCAGAGCACACAGAACACCCAGTTCAAGCAAAATACAAGCAGCAGCTGCTTTAAAAATGGCTAAAAATGAGAAGCCTCTCAAACTTCCCGAGCATCCCATTGTCCCTCCCTGTGTTGTTCCTGCTAAATTGCCGCTGCTGGAGCTTTGTGGTCCTGGGGGCTGCGGCTGAGCTGCTTCCTGCAGCGCTTGTGGATGCCTCCGGGCTACTAAGATTACAGCCCGGAGGAGGAGGACAAATCCTTTAATTGTATAAAATCATCAGATTAAGACTCACCTCCTCTGCGGCTCCTCCTGTGAGCAGGAAGCTCCGCTGCCCAGAAGCCAAGTGTTTACCAGGCGCCAGGGGATAAAAGGCAGGTGCCGGCCGGGCCCGCCCTGCCCTGGGGCAGGAGCAGCTCCCGTTCCCTTCGGGAACGCTCCCGGAATCGGCCCCGCGCCGGCCGCTGCACAGGGCTCACGGGGACCTTCCCTGCATGGCCGAGGCCTCCGCTCCGGCCAAACATCACGCACGGGCCTCACCGCCTGGCCTCGGGAATGCCTCAATTGCCAGTGTCCTCTGTGTCCAAAACCCCATTTTTTCTCCAGGCTTAGTTTCTCACTGATAAATCATCACAGGGAAGCTTCAGAATGGGCCTGTATGTGTCCCCGTTACAGCCCATCTCCATAACCCCTTCCTGAGCAACTAGCCCAAGTGTCCCAGGTGACACTTGAGAATGGGAGTGACTGCGTTGGCATGTGGGGTCCTGCTTACACCAAGCCCTGAAATTCCCATCCCACTAGCACTAAGGTTAGATTGGCCCTTACTGGGAAAGCAGAAATCCAGGATTTTGCTCCATGACCTGACTCCTGTGCAAGCATCGTTCACAGACATGTTTTCAAGCCTGGGTCTTTCTCGCTGTCTCCACGAGAACAGATGCACTTAGCAGTCCCTAAACATGAGCAACGAGAGCTGAACAGGGCTGTGAGCATTTAATCTCCCCGAGTTTTACTCCTTCAGTTAGGAGCCTTAGGAAAGGGACGGCGCAGCGAGGAGAAATGCCTCGTGCATGAGTATGTGTAAGATTTTCTAGAGGAAGCTGTGCATTAACATCTAGCTGCTGAAATCAGAGTAAACGCTGCGCTGGGAGAGACAGCGGCAGGTTTCGAGGCAGCTCAACTGCTCAGACAGCCCCGGGGTTCCCCCGCACGCGAGGCCCTGCGTGGGTAACACGGACTAACACGGAGCAAGGAGCGCCTAGGGAAGCCCAGGGGCTGCTTAATCCTGAGCTAAGCGGTCAGGCGTGCAGACAAACGAACCTCCTTCTGCCACCAGCTTCCAATGGGCTCCTTGCTGGAACAACCCTCAACACCCGGAGTCTGGAGACGGCTCCTACCAACCCCTGCTGCAAAGGGCACCCGGGAGGAAAAGGAGAGCGATTGCACTGGAGCACGGAGGGGAGGTGCCGAGACTTCCAGTCCTCCCTGGCATCCCAGCAGCGACGGGAGTGTCAGTGGAAACAGCCCTGGAGAGCGAATCCCTGCAACGGGGCTGCCTCGAGCAGCGGCTTTGAGCAGAGCGGCCCGGCAGCACCAAGGAATCGGGCCCCCCACGTTTGTTTTAATGCTCTGAACAGACAAATGAAAATGAAAGGTGTCTTTTAGGATGGCACTGAATAGGCAAGCTGCAAAATAAGCGGAGCTTCACGCATGCTTTTATAACACGTAACAACTGTGACTGCCAACACAAGATCCTTTTTACTGGCAATTCAGCACGCGCTCCACAAGACCTTGGGGCCTGCAATTATTTCATTTCCTTTCTTGTAAAGGCAATTTCCACTTAGTTTGGTGGAATAAAAGGTAGACAAAAGGTGGTAGGAGTTGCTGTATTTTCTGATTAAGGTTATCTGTTTGAAATAGTTGAAATACACACACTACAAATGCAGTATTTTTCAGAAACAATCTCACCTTTCTGTCAGGGAGCTAGTTCAAGAAAATGCAATAGCCTTATTCATCTCAAATTAACTGCTGAACATATCTTTATTTTTTCTGATTAAATTAAAATGAAGATCATCTTTATTTTAAGATGCTTAAAAGAAATAAAACGGGAAAAATCTGTGTTTGAAAAAGGCAGTCTGCTTTTAAAACTCAGGGAAATTAAATAAAACTGTAGCTCACAAAAAGGAAACTGGGCTCTTTGACCATTTGAGAATAAATGATAAAAGTACCTGCAATAGAGTAAAATAAATATCAGTTAATAAAAATAGATGTGAATCTCTTTGTCATGACTTACTCCTTTGAACTAAGCAATGGAGACTGGTTAGAATTGGTAGTGATGCTGTTTTTTAACTGATAGAACAGGAAATCAGAGGTTTAATTAGCCCATGATTACATTATTCTGCTGATTTGACCCATCTATTTCCTTTACTTTAAGTGACAAACTGACAAATATGTTGGCAAGGGAATTGCAGCAAGTCTGCAGCCTCAGTCCAAAAGGAGCTTCATATTGTTCTAAAACAAACCAATCCTGCACCGGATTGCTCAGAAATGAGCATTCCTGGAGCAGAATTAACCCTTTCGTACTTAAATGGCAGGAAGATGCTTCAGTCTGTTGTCACAAAAGACTCCTCATCCTGTCAGTGGAAACGCACCCTGATGACTTCTTTTGCTTCTGTTTTTTTCTTTTTTTGAATCTTAATCATGAGGTGTAATGGGGGTAATGCAGCATTTTGACCAACATTTTTAAGAGGGACAATGTACACTCCTTTGGTCCAATGGAAGCCACTCTGCACACCGGGATACAGACTGGTATGGCTTATACGATACTATTCTTTAGAATTTTTCATTGGAACTGCCTTTTAAACAAAATCAAGAAATACATATTTTTGTCTCCTCTTCTCTACCAGATATGAAAAAACCCTCAAGCTATTCCTTGAAGACTTGAGATTTTTTTTGTAGCAGACACCATGTAATGTTCACAGGTTCTAAGGGAAGAGCAGCTTCATTATCATGTCCAACTTCTGCCTCCAAATGCGCCTGGGAATTATTGCAGGAATCACTGATAAACAACAGTATATTAATGCTGTTAACCAAAATCGATGGGAGAATGCTTTCAAAATGCACAAGTTAAACAGACCTGATGCAAAAATATGGCTAGAGATCCACGTTTTACTTACTTCAATGTAGCCTTGGAACTTGTGCTACCCTTAAGGTGGTCAGAAGCAGACTCTGAATCAGATGCCTTGCAGCTGAACCCCGTTTCCAGCTTGTTTAATGCTGCTTGAGCAGCACTGGCTTCCGAGCCCAACACGGGCAGAGACTTTGATTCTGATGTGGCCAAAATTCCGGTGGGATCTAAAACCAAAGACAGGTTAGCACTGCTGTTATGCAAGTTGACTGGTCTGGGACTGACATGTAAACACAGCAGAATTCCACTTAACTGCAAAAAAACAAAATGGGATTTTAAAGAACAGCCTCCAGTGCAGGGAAAGTATCAAAACACCCTATCTGCAACTTTTGTTCTCTGCCCCAAAGTAAGCCCAGCAAGCCCTGCCTGTACAGCACAGGAATGGGCTAACACACTCCTGCACTCGATTCCCTTGCAGGGAGAGGGTAAATCCTGCTGCCAACACAGCTGAGTCACAGCTTTTCAGTGCATCTAGAGTAAGGGCCAACCCACCTACAAAAATAATAAAAAAGGGTCTGTTCTGATACTAATGAGTAACTAATTAGTGAACTGTTTATCTACAAAGTCCGAGCTAACCTTCACAGTGACGTTAACAGCAGCCCTGTCTGCATGGACTCTGGCACAGAGACAGCGACTGCACGGCCTGTGTTTCCACCCAGGGAGGGCATCAACAGCTCCTTAGCGATGATGACACTGAGCCAGGGCTTAAAAACGGCAGCTCTAAATTCAAATTAGCATTCGTATGTACTCATGCTCTCCTTGCCATTACTTTGAAGAGTGCTTTCCTGGTAGCCTGAGACTAATAACTTCAAAAACAACATCTAAATTCCAGTTAGGATGCAGGTGTGCAAAAACCTCGGCTGGGAGAAAACAGGGTTGAAAAAGGACAGATGTGAAGGGGAAGGGAGTGAATGTAGAAGCAAGCAGGGTGGAATGGCAAAGGTCTGGAAGACACAGCAGAGCTTTAAGAGGTGGAGGACACGCACTACGAAGGCACCAGGCCACCTACCGCCGCTGTCCTGGTCGGTGGTGACTTTCCGGCGCCGCAGGACGCGCTCCAGCTCCGTTTCGCTACTGTCTGTTTCAAGGGACTTTAAGCTTCGAGAACTCGTGGATTTGTTAAGTGTTTCCTGTAGCAAGAAGCAGGCAGGAAAAGCACTCTGGGTATATTATGCCTTGCTAAATATCTCATCTGCACAGTGCAGATCAGCAGCAGGATGAGAAGCTTTTAACTGCAGAACAACAACTGCAGTCCTAGAACAGGGCATGAACCTTTCCCTGTTGTTTCACAGAGGGCCCCTGGTGCCCGATTTGTGTCTCCTTCCCTTACGTGGACTCACCTATGTTGGACTAACCACATTCATCTTCCTTAGGGTTGGTATCACGCTTAACACTGAGGTTGTAGATCACTAGCAAGCAAACCCTGATGTTTCCAAGGATGTCTCCAACCTTCCTTCTCTTAAAATTAAATAGATCTTAGAAGACCACTAGAGCAAGGGCAGTCATAATTAGCTGTGCTGGCAGAAAGGCAGATTTCACTGTTCTCACACGTTTTACATTGCTGTAGGCTCCCATGTTGCACCCAGGTGTAGGGACACAGACTGGGAAAGTCAGCAAGGACTAGCCTGGGCTGGATTAGGCCACTGGTTAGATGGTTTTCTATGCATACAGAATACAAACCCATGCCTTAACTGCCCCACACCAACTGATGGGAGTTTGCTGCCTCCTGATTCAGTATCCAGTTGATTGTAAAGTTTCCCCAGATATTTATAATGCAGAAGAAAATTTGGGATCCGCATTGTATTTCAGTCTCCCTCCCAGTCTTGCCACCATTGGGGTCCCCAGGGAGCCTGTTTATTCTGCCTTCCCAAGGGTGTCAGACTTGCATTTGAGATTGCCTTTTTATACATCATGAATAACATATTCTTTAAATCTTTCCCTGACAAGCACATAAAACCTGAGTAGGAATAGCAAACAAAAGGAGGTTGCATCCCCAATTGCAACAGCAGTGCTGCTTTCAGGATTCCAGGAAAATAGGTCAAACTTTCTCACTCACTCAATAAATTCAAATGTTTTATTTGGCAAGTGTTTGAAATTTAACCGAGCAGGTACGTTATTAATGAGCAATATTATTCAGATCTGTATAAATGATGCATGTATATGAAAACAACATGAGCAAGGAGTCGCTCTAACTGTGCAATTTACTGAACATAAATGTGCTTTGTTTCTGACAGCTATATGGAGGTCCACGTGAAATGCATAATTAACAGGATAACGACAAACACCAATGTTTCCCCCAGCACCTCCCACCCCCATGTTTGTTGTCTGACTGTGCATAATGACTGGTCTCAAGAATAGGCTGGAATTGGATTTTATATAGCATGGCTGATACTGCAAACAGCCTGAAGGGCTCAGGAGCACCAGGCTAGGTACAGCAACAGGGCGACCGCAGGTTTCTTTCTGCTCCTTCTGAACTTTGTATCAGGAGAGAGCAGGGGTTCAAATTAGTTTCACTGAGAACCCTATCTACCATATGGGCAGTTCAAGAGATTTACTTTGGACTAGATTTATTCAGGGCCCTCTTTCTGAATGTCCCTATTTTGGAGCATTTTGAAGGTTTCCAAAGGACCCTCTGTGCAGACCATCACATTCCTTGCAGGGGCAGAAATACACTGTCTCGGAGCAGAATTAATGGGCAACTTTTCTCGAAAGCAAAATTTGTTGGCAAGACCAAGACCATTCAATAAATAGGACCAATGCAGCAAGTGGAAGCGATCAGGGGATTCAATCCAAAGCTGCTCTGCAGCTGCAAACCAAAATGCTAGTGCAGAACTTCCAGCTTTTGCACAGAAGGCCCAGTCAGCCATGTAAAGAAATAAAAACAATACAGAAATGACAAGTTTTCTTACCAGAATCCCTTTCAGCTCTTTCATTGCACTTTCAGAGGGCTTTGGTGTTTCTGGCTGTAAGCAATCATAACACACACATTAAAAAATGAATAAATAAAAACACGTGCTTACTACTAATCTGACCTAACTGCAGCAGATTTTGTGCTTGAGGACCCAGGTGTACAGTTGTATTATGTTCCTCTGGTCTCTTCTCCCATGGGCACATGTGTAACATTCAATCCATTTCATCATATGAGTAGAGAGAAGAGTCTTAGCTCAAAAAATAACACTATAAGCCACAGCCTATACATTAGGAAAGATTAATAGGGTACTATTTCAAGCTTTTATGAAGACAGTAAGTGTTATATTACAGTAGCATATTCATGTCTGAGTGCTACATGCAAGGAGGAAACAGCACCAAGTACCACAGACTTGCTGATCACTCAGTTTACACTACCCAGTTACACTCTTGGTGCTTTTTGTTTTCCTGTGGCTGTTTTAGCAGATGTTTGCTTTCGTCTTCAAGGAAAATGGGCATTTGTGTACTGTTTCATTCACTTTTTTCCCCTCTTCTTCAGCTACATGCTCTGCTGCTCTATTTTATAAGATTTAAAACTAAACAAAGCAAATACATTCTTTCATATGTGTTATGGAGAATCTGACTTATTTTCAGTATAAAATTGACTTTTTCAGTATAAATTATGGGCTTGGCTAATATAATTGCTCTTCTGTTTATTCCAACCTTTGTTTTAGGTCTGCTCGCCTGGTTGACCGGCCTCAGATGAACCCCCTTCTTGATTCTGTCCATCATTTCTTCCACAGCTTGTCTCTTCAGATCCGTGACTTCTTCACCTGTTCCAAAATCACATTACAGACATGAACTTCAGAAAAATAGTCCAAAAGAAAAAGCATCTATGCTAAAAACAAACTTCCAGGCTTTTGCTCAACTTTATTAAAAACATAAATGACATCCATAAATACACATTCTTCTCCCGACAAGTGGGCTGTTCACCTGGTCTTTCTTACAGGACCACTATCTTACCCTTACTTTTCCCCACCACAATGAGACACTTTACACAGTGCCTATCTAGAAGGTATTCCCGTTTTCTATGGCAGAAAACAACAATTTTCTCTGTTTATCTGGATTTCTGGTTTCCGGATTCGGGGCTATTGTGATAGGTGCCATCAGCTGAACTGTCACCATCAGTTCCAGGATGCAGTGGCAATTTACTCCTGTTGAGCATCCAGTTATGGACTTCTCAGACAAACAGCAGTGCCAGCCTAAGTCTGGAAAAGCAGAGATCCTGAAAATGCAAAACTCCTATAACTGTTGGGACCTGCAAATGCTAAAGCACTAAAGCACCAAGGAGTGAAAAATACAGCTCCAGTTCTACCATATATTAAGTTCTCCATTTATTAAGGCTCAACTGAAATTTCTACAGCTTCATTAACATGGGACGAGTTGACAGCACCCCACAGTGAGGCCCATATCTAGCCTGTTAAGAGATTACAAATATATGTCTCAAATTTCAGACAGGTTAAAAACCTTCCTGAAATGAGACACTGACATCTCAGATCAAACTAAAAACACCCATTTAAAGAACGTAGCATTGAGTTAAATGGCAAAACTTAAAACACCACAAAAGAAAGCGGCTGATTTCCAAAAGATGCAATATCATGACCACAAAATACTCAGATGAAACTGGGAGCTGTATCATGAAGCTAAACAGTGCCTGTTAACTTAGGAGTGTTTTGGATAATGTAACAAAAGACACGATGTGCCACAAAATAAAAGACTATTTAAAGTAAAAACATGGAGAGATATGGTGAATGCCATTCAAAACTTATGTAGTGCCTTATATAACAGAAAATTTCAATAGGCTTTTGCTCTCTCACTTGTCAGGGTACTACTGATGATTCACAGAACTGCAGTTTCTGTATTGTAAGCTGATTTCATGTCAGGCTTTAATTTCACAAACAGGCTGTTTCAAATATAAAAGACTAATCGCTGGTATGCAATAGAAATCACTCATTGCAAGTCCATAGCAAGGGTCAAAACAAGCCTCAAGTTGGACATAATAACTAGATCAAGAGAGAACTTTTCCCTCTTTTTTTTTCTTTTATTTTAAGAACAGGTCAGCTATTAAGAAAAGAAGCAATTTGTGTGTGATTGAAGAAAGGTCAGAACTGTTAAAGTTTTCTAATAAATAATGAAAGAATGGGGTGCAGAGAACTCATAGCAAATTTCACAGTATTTCCTGCAATCACTGTAACAGTCTCAACAGAACTGTGTAATCAAAACATCTCAGGCACTTGAGATAAAGAAACTTTATAAATGAAGGTGACATAATTGAGCTTGAAAAAATAAGATTGACTCTTCATCACAGATCTAGGTGCAGGGTCACTTCTGTTATTATTTTACCCAGACCACCACCCTTATTTTGCTCACACTGGTAACCAGTTGCGCCAAAGACATCGGGATGTCCCAGCCCAATTCCCTTTATTCCTCTGTCCCTTTCCCAAAGGGCAGAAAGGGTGACACATTTTTCTGCCAAATTTGTGACTGAGATCAGCTCAGCAACAATGAGAAGCTCTAAAGTAAAAGGAAGGAGGATGAGAACTTCTTGGTTACAGCGAGGGACAGCGACCGCTAGGTCTGCTCTAAATGTGTTAGGACCTGTGGCCTCAAAAGCTGTTCATATTAAAATACACATCTGCAAAAACTATATTGGCTGCTGATCACAGCTTACTTGCAGGGGCAAAAAAGTTGCACAGATTTTCTCGGGATCTTGAGGAAGTTTGCAATACCACAGCCACAATGCCAAAGGTATCACTTAATGTCCCAGAGTCTGGCCTGCAGGACAGATGGCTGCACTGAGGACATGGGTGGTGGTGCCACCACAGGCAGGAACACCTGCACCTGCAGTTCGTTTGCACTCGCGTGCTGCCCGAGCTCGGGAATGCTGCACGTACCTTGGGAAGAAAATGAGCCATACCTGACTCCTGCTGAGGAGGCTTCTCCTTCTTGCTCACATTGGTGTTGGAGTGAGATCTCTTACGAATCATTGACATGAGAGACCTTCCAGAAAAACGAAACTGCAGATTGTCATTCTGCTCCCTAACAGACACCTCAGAATGAGCTCTCAACACGACATGCAAACAGCCTGCTTGCTACCCGACTGAACAGCTCCTTGCAAGAGGCTCATTTAACAACTTGCGAGTGCAGATGTATGAAGTGAATTACCCTCCATGATGCCTCCCCTCAAAATATTTTTTTTAATTTCCTTTTAACAAAGATTAAGCATAAATCAAAACATCTCAACTCTGAATATTAGATGATAGCACCTCATTGCGACACATGAGGAATCAAAACTGCCCTGGCTTAATAAAAGGAAGGAAGAGCTGCTGATATTAAAGTACACTTAAAAGACACTTAAATATGGAGATCAGTATCTCCTCGCCAGCTCCAACATTTCTGTTTGTAATATTCTCAGTGTCAAATAGTTATCGTTAAGCGTAGCCAAAACAAAAGTCCAGGCAAGGGACTTTAAGCTCATGCTTAAGCTCAAGCATAAGCACTAACACAAATCTACTGTGTCATACCATTTTTTACTAAGTATTGGTCATTATGGAGAATGACAGTGACCTCACTGGGATAAGGGCTCAAAAGCCAGTACTAGAAAAAAGGAACGCTCGCTGCCCGACTTTTAAAACAACCTTTATATACATGAACCTCCCTCCCAACGACTGAAAAAGTACTCTGGTTTGGCTGCTACAGGGCTTAAAGTGTGTCGTGTGTCCTGAGTGGTAAAGGACTCAAATACGAGGAAAAAAAAAAAAAAAAAGTTTAATTCATAGTATGCACCAGTGAGAAAGAAGCAGACAAGCAAAAATACTTAATGGAGGTAAAAGGAGCAAGGGACTAAACACTGTTGTTCAAAAACTATACAAAAACAATTTGACTCTAATGACCAATATATCATACCAGTCACTTTTTTTTTAAAAAAAAAAAAAAGTCAGCCTTGATTTTGGTAATTCCAGCAAAGCACTCAGTGTCAAGGGCTTTCTCTTTCTCTTTAGATCATGGAAATGGCTGTGGGAACTCCGTAAGGTCAGCACTTTCATCACGGCTACCTGGCAGGAAGGGCCGCACAGTAATCCAACGTATCCTCTGCTTCAAAGGGATATTCTTAGCAGCAGATGCAGATAAGCACTTTTCAAGTTTGTAATTACAGCTATCAGGTGAATCGGAAACAAAATCTCATAAATCTAGAGGAGACAGGGATCCCTCCTCCACCAAAGTCACCCTCTAGACCAGTCATTCGGCTTAGGAAGGGAGACACTGTTCAAAACTGGTCAGGGTGTTGGGTCCATTACCCACTGGGGCAGTGTCCAGTTGGCAAAAAAGGAAGGACTTAAGCCCAAGAGAGGGAGAGAAAGCCTTTCTTCTTTAATTTTTCCTGCTTGAATGCAAGCTCGTGCAATGCATTCTGCTTCAGCAACAGCATGAGTGCTGTGACTCTTGATTTAAGCACTTACCGTATGGGGTTAGGAGGAGGAGGAGGCGGAAGAGGAGGAGGTGGTGGAGGAGGCGGCGGCGGCGGCGCAGGGTTTTCCGACTGCTGCACTCGTTTCTGGAGTTCATCAACTGAGAAAGAAAAGGAAATAAACCAGAGGGAGTCTCTCTGGCTCCCACATCTGCTGCTGGAGTTCTAAAAAAATATTCTATAGGTTTAAGCAGAAAAAAAAGTTCCTAATTAACTGGAAAACAAACAAGAGTAATACACTCAATTGCCAGGAACTGCTATTTTTTGGCAACACTTTTCACTAAGAACAGTATTCTAGATGTACAGCATTAGACTAGCTATCTATAACCTGAATTACTCTTGGAATTAAAATGGTGCTCTACCTCACATGAAATTCTATGTATAAAATGATATGACAGGGAAAAATGCATCACATCCACCTCAAAGTCTACTTCGATTTTCATTTTAGAATGAGATAAACAAAGATGAAGAAATAAACCATTTCCGTTTCTAATCTTATTTATACCTGTATCTTGCTGACGGACTTCAGCATGTCGTCCCCCAACAAAAAAAAAAAATCTCAAACTCAAAATCGAAAAGAAATTTTCTCCTGTTACGTCAGATCCCTGTCTAAAAAAATATTGAAAATATTTATACTTCTGCACTGAAATGTGTCAAATGCAATTAACTGGGAAAGGGCAGAAAGAGAGGAAAAAGTCTTAAATTTCTTCTAGTTGCTAAAATTCTTAGTAGTTACTTGTGAATATAGAAGAACTCAGATGGAAGTACAAAATATGATTTCCAAATTGGATATGATACTTCAGTTCTTGTGATAATGGTTTATATATTAAGCTATTTCAAATTAAAATTGCAAATGTAAATTTATTGAATTTAAACCTTTAACATTTCCATCTCAAGTAAAATAAAAAAATAGTTATTTTAAACTCCAAATAAAATCTTTACATTGATAAATTATTTTTAAAGGACAAATATCTGAAAGGAAAGAATCTGCCATGAGATCATTTCTAAGGTGGCTGAGAGGAACTCCGGTGGCTTATCTTTACTCTAGGCTTATCTTTAAGGATGGACAGCATTAAACTTAAACTCCAAACAAGTCTCCCAAGCAAGACTGCTAACAAGGTTAAAGGCAATCCTGCTGCTGGGGATTTGTTTCAGAAAGGCAAAGCTACTCCCTGAGTCTTAACTAAGGATAGGGGCTTCGGTCTCCTTTGATCAGGGTGCAAATTCTTTCCTGACCAGGTATCATACTTAAAACCCAGCATCTCCTTAGGCCTTGAGCTAAGTGCAGAAAGCAAAGGCACATGCAAACGCACCACCCACATCCCACACTTCTTACACCAAGGCCACAACACTTTCCAAAAGCAATTTTAAATAAAGAGCATTAGGCCACCAATTTCCTCATTCAAAAGGCACGCTGCTGCAAAAAGACCAGGCACTACACTGGTGCACAAGACTGCAGGAATATCTGAATGGCAATGGTTGCTCCTTTAAAAATATTTTGTGAATCACCTTGGTCCATAATTCTGGGGCTTTAGATTAAATGCACAAACAGTGCAATTTCTTCCTCTCAGTCACTTAATACAGAATAAAACGTATGACTATAAGGATTGAAAAGAATAACTTTCACAGATACAAGCCATAAAAGCCCCCTGAATTTGTTTAGCTAATTCCCTTGGCAGCATTCTGAATGCAGTATTTACCCTTTAAATATCTGTGGAAAAAAAAAAAAAAAAAAGACTCACATCAGCAGAAACATTGAGAAACACAAGTTCTCACATTTCAGTACGAAGGGCTAAGTTATTCCTTCAATCTCCCTGGCACCTTCTATCACAAGTCAATTAAATGTTTGAGTAGCTTGATAACTTTGGGGTGTTTTTTTTGTCCAGTTCATGCAATACAGACTCCATAATCAGACAAACCATCCTTCATCTTTGCAAAGGAATGACTAGAGTTATCTGATTTTATTTCTGTTTAAAAACATAAATTTACACTACCTTACATAGAAACACATCCATATATGTATGTATATATATATATGCATATATGCACATATGCACATATAAGATTCACTGAAATCCAACATTTTATATTTGTAAAAAATACTACAAGGTTATTCTTTCGAGTACATTCTGGACATACCAGATTTGTGGCGGACAACAGCTACTGAACTTAGTCTGGTTAAATACAAGTTCGGACCTCAAATATAACATGTATAATTCTTCAACCAGCTCAGACAGCCAAGTGTACTTCTAAACTGAAATTTGTTACATTTACCTGAATGCTTTAAGTCTCTAGCTTTTTCTTCGGAGTTCTGACACTTAAGCTCTAGTTCCTTTTTATCTTCTTCCAAAAGTTCTAGCTGCTGTTTAAGACGACTAATCTCCTTATGTAGTGCTTGATTTTCTAGCTGCTCTTCCAATTCTTTGACCTGCAGTTGGCAAACAATAGCATTCATTACAATAAAAGGTATTTTCTGTCCTTCCCTTTGATGAACCAGGCATGGTAAGTCCTAAAAATATGAAGTTAGTGTACAGTCATCTATAAGTTCCCACAGAGAAGACAGATTTTTTCAATGAGAGCTAGACATATCTTCCTGCAAGACATCAGAATCTTCTATTCTACTCCTACTGTTTTTCCCCTTTGGAAAACACCTGTAGCCCCAAAGTACCTACACTATAAGATCTTCCCTTTTTCTTTTCACAGAGTTTTTGTTGCTTCATTTGAAGGAGCTCCTTTTCAGGACATTTCCTCATTTGAAGCAGAAGAATATTACCATTCTTGGTCTCTCAATGACTGTTTCCACTGATAGCTTGTTATTTAAACTGTCTTGTCAGTGGGTGAATTACAACACATCAGGTTGAGAGGTAGCATTGAGGTGTACAGTAACAATCATCACCAAACCTCATTAAATATACGCAATTTGGTTCAGTCTTAAAGATGACGAATATTAGAAGTCTTCTATAAACTGGTGATTTTCTTAAAATATTCATTCAAAAGCATGAGAGATTAAATGCAATCTTAGTGTTGTTGGATTCATGAAAGCATATAAACCATTTACTTATTTCTAACATTAATATATTAACAAGAGTTAAAAGAATAGACCTCACATCTGAGAGGAAACTTGTTTTCATGCTCTCAGTGAAGCAAAGGAGATTTCTCACACTTAAAAATTGATCTAATCATCCTATTTTGAAAATATATTGCTGAGATCCTATCACTTCTGATCCTCTTATGCCATTTTGCAGCACTTAGCTTTTCCCTACTCCAGTAGGTTTGACTCTTCCATGTATTTCTTTAGCAAGTGACTGGACTACAAATATGAACTGCCCATCTCTTGCCTCTGGTCTTTTTAGTTTATCCTAGAAGAACAGCCTTCATACTGCTCACAGTCTGAAACATTCTCCTGTCACACCTACTTTCATGTAAAAATCTTCTTAATGCTTATAATTAAACTTGGAGCTTTACCGGCATCCAAAATAAAATACTCTTAAACCAGAAGCCTCAGCCTGAAGGTTTTGCACTCCTGTCTTACCAGTGACCCAGAAGAAGGGGATGGTAATCTTCTCTGAAGCTTAGTTTTTAGACTATAAACACCTGTGGGGTGACAAGATCTGAAATAATTCTGAACATAGCAAATACATGACAATTCATATCACTCATTAAGTTCAGGAAGCTTTCAAAAACTTCTGCATGAGGTAAAAAAGTAATCGTGTTTTACCTTTTGTTGATGTTGAAGCCTCTCTTCCTCTAACGTATGAGTCAGCTTAGCATTTTCATCCAAAGCTTTCAAAAGCTGTTGATCAGGAGCAGAACTTTGCAGAAGCAGCTGACTCTGCCTTTTCATCTTGTTCTGTTCAATAAACATCTGCAAACCAAAAAACAGCCCCAACAAAAAACAATACTTAAAGAAGGGCTAAAGCTTTCCTAGAAAAAAAGGCAAGTGGAAACAAAAACCATGGGGTGAATATGGGGGAGGGGGGAAGGTGAGAAGGGAAAAGAAGTTTGAGAGTAAAATTAACGAGAGCTAAGAGCACACTGAAGGGAACCAAGTGATTATTAAAAGAACAACTTGCTGCTATGCCTGAATTACCTCGATGTTGGCAGCATTCAGAATGTGAATGCATTGCTGAATTTTCCTTCCTAGAAATGTGAATAATCTGATTCTTGCTCTGGGAGCTCTGGCAGATTCAAAGAGCACAGGGTTGAGAAACAAAATGTCTCTGCAGTGACAATCTCCTCAAACACAGCCGCACACTCTGCATAAAGTGCATGTATCTGAGGGTTACACAGATATCTGAATGATGGAGTGGCCTTGGAAAATGAATTTCAGTCTGTGTTTGTGCAAACAGTGTATGTACTTACCTTGGGGAAAAGCCTATCAGTGCTATTTCAGCCTTTTACTTCTGATGCTTGTATTCTTTCCTCTTCCCCAGTTAAAGTTTTTGATGTGGAAAGTGGGTGATTTAAAAAAAAAAAAAAAGAAATCAAATGGTCTAGAGACATGACATTGATACAAATGATACAAACGTCACATCTCTAGGCTTCAGCTAGGAAAAATAAAAGCTTCCTGTCAGCCAAATTCCTCAAGGAATTTCCTTTCTTCTCCCTCATGCTGGGTATTTCGGGTAGAGGGGTCCCCCGCCGGCAACAGGGGCTTCCACTCTTGCGCTCCATGGTACTCGTTTTTCCAAGAGAAACAGGACTGGGTGAGGCTGAGGTCTCAGGGGGTGTGAGGCGGTGAGCAGAGCACCCTGGCAGGAAATAACAGCCTCGCAACTGGGATGTTCCCTCAGGCTGCTCAAGCACTGTTCCACCGCACAGCGAGAACAGGGTGTTGAAGGAACACCGTTTTAGAAATATAAGAGCTCCATGAGATCTTGTCAGCTTCCCATACTCTTCATTCCCAAGCCCAAATTACAGATGCTACACGCTGAAAAACGGTTTCTTTCTGTCCAGTACCACTGCACTGCTGCGTGCTTTTTCCTAATGCCACTGGATTTGAATGAAACATCAGACAATTCAGGCTTGCAGCCAGCGTTCTACCCACCCTTTGGCATCACTTCAAGTGAGCTTCCCTGGAAAGCTGCTCCCCGTCTGCACAAGCAGGAAGAGAAGCCTGTGGACAGGGCTGAGCGTTCCCTCACGACGCGGCCTGCGTGACGCTCCGGCCAAGGAAGAGGCCCAGGATGCGGCCTGACCACCAAGAGCACCAATAACGAACACGGCAAAGCCGAGCCACGAGGCAGGAGATAAAGAACTGGAAGTACTTGATGAAGAGGAAACGACGAATATCGGCTCTAGGACTATAGTTGTATCTCTAAGATGAACAAAAGGGCAACACTCAAAACGCTTATGTCTGCGTTACCTCATGCTAGGAGAGCAAAGCCAGTTGAAAGGCAACAGAAGCTCAGAACCAAAGCCAGCCACCCACCGCAAGCTGGGAAGGCTGCCTTTGCACTACAGATCATCCATTTGTTTGATATTTCATCTTCTCAAAAAACTAAAACAAAACAGCATCTTCGAATAATTATACATCAGAAAGACCTCTAAATCATCACAGGTAAAGAACTTGTCAGCACTGAATAAAACCCTGCTGCCCTCCTGTCCAGTGACAGAAACATCCCTATAGAAACATTTTGTGTGTGTGTGAACATAGTAGTTTATCCACTGTGAATTTTCAAATCAAAGGCAAATCTTGGCCTTTTACTTTTATTTTTTTCTGAGCGGGGGGGGGGGGGAGCGGAGTAAAAAAATGGTTTCAAGTCAATTTCAAGGGATTTTTGCTCCCTGAATTTCTGTCCAGCTTGAGGGAGCAGGTACCCACTGCTGCCTTTTCTTCCTCTCCATCTGTATCTGATTCTTTCTGCAAAAATGACATAATGCCAAAACAAATCAAATATCATGACTTTAGAATATACTTCACCAAAGGTAACAAATCCATATTCACTGTATTTCATGCTTTCTCAAGAGAAAAAATTTCATTTTGTCCTGAGGAACCAGATAAAATTTTTTTCATTCAAAAGTTTCCTCAAGATGCCCTGCACTTTTTATTAGCTTTATAAATTGCTTTCAGAACATAGCAAATAGATTTCTGCTTATGAAATGTGGGAAAGTGTGTTCACCACCACAAAAAAAAAAAAAAAAAAAAAAAAACTTTATGATCTATAGCATAGGTCTCCAATCTGACAAATGGGAATCTGTTTTCGTGACGAGTCCCATTTAGTTCAGAAATTCCCTAGACACATAGTTGAAGCACCGTCACATCTTATATTGATGGGAAAACATTGGACAAGAAAAACATGGCATATAGAGAGAGATAGAAGTGAAGAGAAATTTTTGAGAGCTTGTTCTATGTTTGACACGGGAGAAAAAGAGTGCTTTGAAAATAATTCCAATTTTAAATTAAAACAGTTAATTCTTCAGCTGGGTGGAAACCTGGCTGCCTGCACAAGCTTGAATATTAATTAAAAGGACTGCTGAAAGGGCAAAATAGCTACTAACAGGATTATTTGGACTAGGTGGAATTTAACCAATTGACAGATTAGTTCTGACTTTACCACCTGCTAGACAATTATCTGCAGAATATCCCAATCAATGCTGGAAACATAAGCCAATGCCTGAGGAATCTATTGAAACCACGACTGCAACTAAAGGCAGAGCACAAAGGAAAATAGTTTGCTTATACTTATAAACTTAGCTTGAAAAAAATCTCCAAGTGCTGCGCACAGCAGCTAAGTATCTTTCCCTCTTGAGTTTACAAATGGGAGCTCTGAAGCACAGAAAATCTGGGACTTGGCCACGTTCCATCATGGAGTTTGAACAAGAACTGAGGAGAGGGGGGAGGGAAGGGGGTGAAACACCGAAAATAAAAGTTTTTCCCTTGACCTCAATGGGGCCACACCTCATTCTCAGACCCCTGCTCTAACCATTACCCTACAGAGCATTCACTGCAGCTGTTTTTTGTTTACACCAGAGTTGAAAAAGGAATTCTTCCTCATTAAAAAAGTTAGAAAGCAACTCTGTTAGTGTCAAACCCCTGGGAACTCTGATCCTCATTCAAGGAACATTCAGGGTATAACTGGATGCTTTCCAACTAACTCTTCTCAAAACAAGGTCAAAGGAAATGCTTTAATATCCATACCTTGCCACATTTCCATCTATAAATGCTCTGCGTACTAGCTATGCGAACTAAATTCTTTTTCTTAGTTGAAGCTTGAAGGGTGAATAATGTTTCAACACAGAAAAAGTGTTATAATAAAGTAGTTATTGGTCCCATAAAGCAAAATAAAAATCAGTGTCAAACAGAACTCCACTATAAACGAAGTAACAACAGGCACATATCACAATAGAGCCCACTTCAGAAATCTCACATATAAAAGAGGACTTCAGTCAAGTTATCTTTTGATTCCAATTTCAAATCCATGGAACCGCTGCTCCATTCACTCCACATCCTAGTGAGGAATCAGTAAGTCATCTTTCTGGAGTGGTATCACTTTCATTTACATATTGGTCAAAATTTAGAGAAGGAAGGCTTTTGTTATACGAGTACCCTGAGCTCAGGCCTGTGTTCAAGCCCAGGAGAGGAGGATCAAGGTACTTGCATCTTCCCAAGAGAAAAGGCTGTTTGAAGGCTGTGCTATGGTGTGGGACACAGGGTGATCTTGTCGGATTAGCACTTGATGGGGCACTAAGCAGCATTAAATACAGGACGTACTCTGGATTTATATGGTATAAACCCAGATTTTAGTTCAATGATTCCCAACTACCAAAATATACATATACACTTTAACTTTGTAACTGTTGTCTGTACTACATTATCAAGGACATCTGGGTATGAGAGCTTCACTGCATATAAATATTACAGCAGAAACAGTAGTTAGTGATTTTTTAATGGACGTATAGGGAGAGAACATATCTCATTAAAACACAAGAAACTTACCCATAGTCCAACCTTATTTGTTCCGTGATAGTTTGGACACTGACCTATAAAAACTGTCTACACTGAGGCTCAAAGCTGCACATCAAGCAGTGACATTAGTCCAGTATGAAATCCGAAACCTTTGTGTTCAAGTGGATTCATATGGGACTGAAGAGCTATTCAGAAAAAAAGAACTACAACAAATACCTTGTAACTGAATTGCCTGAAATTGTTCTGTAGCCACAGCAATCCGGCAAACTTACTTCAGCACACACTTAATTTTAGATGCAAGTTCTCTGATCTGAAAATGATGTCTTTAGTGCTTACATAGCATGCAGTTTCTTTTTTTTTTTTTTTTGCCTAATTGACAGGCAACTTTATAAAGTGAGGTTAAGTCCTTTTGGTTTTGCCATAGGAGAAATATGAAATATATAGAATACTACATGCTATACCTATGGTCTTACAGTATTTAGATGTCATGTAATACACTCAGAAATTGATCATATCCCACATAAAAGGAGGAAACCTCTTTACTTTTTTCCTCAAATAGATTAAACATCTGGGAGCACTAAACACTAAAACTGCTAAGCAGTTTCCTAGAGTACCCAATGTTACCATTTCACAAGTCTGTTCTTGGGAGAAAGCTTGATGAAGCAGATTAGTCTTTTGTCATGCTTCAAAAGTGGTAACATCCAAGCTTAGAAGGATTCAAGTACTAACCACTCATCATGTCTCTAATTATTATTTGCAGTGAAGTCAACTGAACTGCAAATTAATTGTCTTCAGATACCAGTGTCTAAGTATCCTTGGTAATGCACACAGGATATAGCACTTGTATGTACAGAGCTGCTCCATGAGTGTTTGCTGGATTTGCAATACCCCCTCACAGATGTAGCAAGATAATGCAAGAATCCTTACAATTAACCCAAAAGATCACAGATACTAATGAAGAGTTCCTTGGGAGCTCCTGTCTAATGCAAGTCATTGAGACAACCAAATCCATTGCCCAAAATCTCCTGTGTACTGCAGGCACCTGTAAGAAAGAGAATGTAATTCTCCCTACGTGTTCCAAATGGTGGCCAGCTTCTCTCCTTCAATACTGGAAGACTCTTTCCTGAATTAAGTAATATGTCACCTGAGCACTTGCACAGTCTCATAAGGAACAGAGGCATTTTGAAGTAAATGAGTTAAATGTGAACATGTTCTTGTGCAATAGCTATTTAAAAACCACACATCAATACACTTTCGAATGCATCCACAAATTTGGGAATTAGAGAGAAAGACAAACAAAAAGATGGACAATGCGGATCATTGACCAGGGTTTCCTTGAATGTAGTCATTCAGTTTTTCAAATGGCAAGTTATTTATAATACTTTGGATGTCCTTTAATTTTTCCATGCTGTGATTTGAGGAAAAGCCTATGCTATTGGTGGAAGGGAGAGGAACCCTAATAAGTCTGCCCAATAATTTGACACTATTTCTATTTACCTGAGGTACTGGGAAAAGCAGCAGCAGCCCAGCACTAAATTTGAGAGCACACTGCCTCTTCCCAGCGAAATCTCCAAAGTAACTTCAGGTGCAGGGGTTGTCTCCATGCCAGCACACACGACAGTAATAAACAGTTCACTTTACAAAATATTGGTGGAAGGCAGGATAAGTGCTTAATAAACCATTTATGCTAGATTATTTTATTAAACTCCTGGGATTTTTACATTGCTAAAACTTTCAATTTGCATCTCTCCCCGTGTTCCACCCCTTTTGGCTTGCCTCGGCAGTATCTTTTGTGTTTTACTCATCTTTGTGCAAGAGTGCTTTTCAGGCTAGCCTCTGTATTATTGCAATGGCCTTCAAGATACTCTCTGCCTTCCTTTGTTTTCTTATAAACTGCTTCACAAAGAGCTGAGAGATCTTAAAGTGTCTCTTAAAACATGACACTAGAATTCTAGTTAAGCTTGCCAAGATTCCTGTGTTAACAACCCTGCTTTATTCAGGCAGGTACAGATTTTTCCATGTCCCCACCCCTTACACACTCTATTTATTTAGTTCTTTTATGAAGATTCCTTTACTTTTCACAATGGATTGTGACTCTCTTCAAATCCTCTTTCTTTCTCCTTCCCTCTCTCCACACCACAACTGACAATATTTACTCGCTTTCTTTAAAAACTCTAAGGATCATGAATTCCAATGTTTCAGGTTAGATCATTTTTAATGAAATATACTATGGCAGTGCGAGGCGCATGATTATAATTAAAGCTGCATTGAATTTTTTTTTTTAATTAAAAACTCTAATTTCCAAGTTTTCTCTCACTCTCAGGCGATGATTATAATTAAAGCTGCATTGGATCATTGGATTTTTTTTTTTAATTAAAAGCTCTAATTTCCAAGTTTTCTCTCACTCTTACATGCACTTGCTCCCTTCCTTTGCTTGTCTCTTCTCTCCTCCCATCTGTGTTCACTTATACACATGTGCTGGCTCTGCCATCAACTATCACACCTAAATTCCCACTTGCTCCCCTTCCACAGCAAAGTCTCCTCTCCTAGAGGAAGCAGAGGATGCAAAGAGCATCACTTGGAAATGCGGCCCGGGCAGCCGCTCCTGTGATCTCCCACTCTGCCTTTAGTCAAGTGCAGTTATATTCTAAACACACAGCAGAAATACTGACAGCTATAGGCAGGAGACTCATGGTATGCATATATGTGCAAGCTATATAAAATTAAGTTTACTTCAATTACAAGTTGACTAATCAAATTATTAAAGCTTCAGTAGCGGATAGGTAAAACTGCCTTTTTTTTTTTTTTAAATCTAAAGTGTACCATGTACCTAAATGAACGAATGAGAATCTTAATACACTGGAATTTGCACTTACCTTTCTCCTTTAATATTAGCATGATGAACTGGCTCTGTTATTCAAACGCACAGTTTCATTTAATAGAAAGAGAAATTGAGCTGTTCCTAGAGGTTACTTGTTTTCTGACCATATAACTTCTTGAATGGGGTTCCCAAAGGTTCAACAGGATAACATCCAAAGGGGAGGAAAGGAAAGAGTTGCAAAAAGGTGGAAGAGAGAAAACAGAACCTCTGTGTTCAGCTGCACCTGGCTAGTACCCTTGCCAGCTCTTTAACCAACCTTTGTACACAGCACGTTCACAGAGAGGGCAAAATCAGTGCTGACGGTCACCTCTTGCTTCTACATCTTTGAGACTGTTCACATTTTATCTCCAATCCACGTTTGTACACAGCACGTTCACAGAGAGAGAGGGCAAAATCAGTGCTGACTTGGTCACCTCTTGCTTCTACATCTTTGGACTGTTCACATTTTATCTCCAATCCACAAAACTGTTGTGTTTTAAATGCTACAACATGATTCTGTTCATACTCAAAGCGTCAAAATACCCAGACCACAATGCAAGAGTAACAGCACACAGCAGGCAGTCACTTTTTTTTTTCCCCTCTAGAGTTTCAAAATGAACATAGGCTCTTGTTTACACTCACTGACTGAAAACAGTGTTTTTTGTTTGTTTGTTTTAAGAGAAGCAGCAATAAAAAGACAAAAAGCAGGTAACGAGTTAACACTCGGACAAAACTGATTTCCTGAAGGCAAATATCTCCCTACTTGCAGTCAGGCCTTCAAAATTAAAAGTCTACCTCATAGCAGACTTTGGATGTTTCCCTTAAGTACCTATCTAGTGGGAGTCAATATCTTTTCTAGCACATGAAAGCACTTCTTTTTCAGCTTGAATTCTATCTACAGATGTTACTCCAGAAGCACAAGCTATATAGCAGCAGAACACCCTATCTTACAAAGCTTTTTTTTTTGCTAGTTCACATATTTTTCAGGAAAAATACAGCTCTGAATTATATCACTAGAAAGGCAGACAATCCTTCCCAATCCCAACTGCTCCATATTCTCTATTCAATTGTTATGGATGTCTAAGTCCTCTCTATATTTAAAGTCTCACTTGAAAAAAAGAGAGAAGGTAATACTGCTTTATAAATGCTGTTGATATAAATGCTGTTGAAATAATGTACCCATTTTTCAGATGAAGTACAGATGTTAAACAGTGCACAGGAATTCAGAGGCATATTTTGTATGAAAACTGGGAACTGAAACCTGATCATCTAGGCTGGTAGTTTTTTTCCCCCCCAACTGCAACATCTTCTTTTTATGTCTTTCTTCTGGGCCTACGCACCTCTTGTGCAAATGACTCTGCTTTCTTCCGCAGATTCTTTTCCAGTTCAAAGTTTGTATGAAGTTCTTCATATTCCTCTACTGCCAGCACAGACACTGTAAGAATGTAATAAAACCAGGAAAAGAGAAATGAGTAACAAAGCAACCAAACAATAAAACGAAGTACTACTAGATTTATCCAGATAGGCTGCTATGCCCCAGTACTGTGAACCCTCATAATGAAGATGTAACTTAATTTTACTTCTCCATCTACAGTCCACATTGAAATATTTTCCATGCTTTGCTCTAAACCTTCCCTTTATCTTTATAAACAATTACTGGTCTAAGTACAGCAATAGTCCTGCTATCCTGCACTGCTGGGCAATGTCACTGCAGAGCAGTGACTGTTGAATTCCACATTAAAAATGTCTGTACCTCAAAAATGGGCATTTTGACTATCATCACCCATATCTACTTTACGTCTGTGTGCACACAGCTAATCACTCCATGCCTACCTACACAAACAGGCACTGTAACACTAGATATTTTGGTTATGTTTGTTTTCTTACAATAGCATATTGAATGTTCTTTTACTGTTTTCTGAAGTATTAGGCAACTTGCTCTCTGCATCTTTACTTTGTCTGTAAACATCTGATATTTAACTTGGCAAATATTTCTATTTGCTTATCACAGCTTTATTTTGGCATTCAGCACAATAACATAAAGTTAGATCAACTCTACAGACACACTTTTTAGCCTTATAATAACAAAGGAAGAGTAAAGTGATTTTTCCACAGATTTATATCTCTGTCTCCATCCCTTATTGCTCTTTTTCACCACATGCTTCTCACCTAGCAGTGTCCTTTACAGTTAGAAGATTTTAAATCTAAAGCAGAAATGCTACAGAATAAATCATTTTTAGTTGTCTGGAGTCCCCATAGGACCAAGTGCTACAAAAGTCATGACCTCTAATCCTGAAAAAGTTTTGCCTTTCTTTTAAGGTAGGCAAGAGGAGGAAAATCAAGCTTAATTTCTATTGATTAAGCTGAGAAATTTGACTCTGTTCTACCAGCACATCAATGATCATCCCTCCATACTGACCAGAAAGTTACACTAAGCCAATGATGTACTTCTAACTTGATCTAGAACAGGACTAAAGATAGACAGAGCATCTTTTGGTAGAGCCCAAACTCAAGACTAGCGTAGCAAACACGAGGTAGCCAAACAGCGTATTGCTTCCTTGAATATGAGCAATAAAAGACACAAGAGAGCCTTAATTAGCCTAAAGACTGCATATATTTCGGAGGCATCCAGCCTAACTAGGGTATAAAGCATCCCTTTACATCAGAGCTTTCAGGAGGTTTCAAGTAGTGCAATTCTGAGCTGCCTGTGTTCAAGCTATGCTCACACAAGTGAAGCTGAACGCAGCTGGCTGAAGCCAGCTCCAGGATTCATTTCCCCAAACTATATATGCTGAACAGACCCCAGCCTATAAATTTTTAACATGTTTCAGTGACTACTGACACTCTTCTGATAAGATTCAGCTCTTACTGGCTGAAGAAGAATTTTCATAGGGAGGACACTGAATTTCTAAAGCTGTCCTGTGCAAGTCCCTTGCTCCTTTGGAGACAAGCGTAAAGATTTTACAGCTAAGTGCAGTAAGTGCTACTTTAGACAGTGGAAAACTCAACCTATCCATCTGACTCTCAAAATTTTCTTTTTTAAAAACAAACTTGGAAAAAATTAAATGTTAAATTCACCAACTCTGATAGGAAAGTACTGATTACACAGCTCCAAGGCAGCATCAGAGACAGTGAATGCAGCCAGTGTCTATTCAGAGTTTTCATTCATGTTTTAATTTTACAAGGCTAAGCAAAAAACACAAAAGAGGAAAACAAGCCACTAGAAGCTTCTTCTCCAAGCTTCCCTCAACTACTTTTGAGTCAACTATTTCTCATCTGGAAGCAATCTCCTTCGTTAGGGAAAGGCTTTCCATTAAGAAAAAGTTTTCCTTTCCTGAGTCCTATTTCTCTGTAGACTATCTCCTTCGTTAGGGGAAAAGCTTTCCATTAAGAAAAAGTTTTCATTTCCTGAGTCCTATTTCTCTGTAGACTGTCTCCAGTCCCTGTCCCTGCTTAGCCTCTCCTCTCTCTCTTCCCACTTGCCTGGGTCCCTGCTTTCCCACTGACCCCATTCTCAGCACCATTGTCCCGTTTCCTTCATTCTCTTGTGACATGAGCACATTCTCCCAAGATCTTAAATGTTCAAAACTTCTAGCTGTGTCCCAACTAAAAGGCTTATATAATAATATAAATTAATGGGAGATTGGGATTCAAACTCCATCTCTGTCAGAGACAACCTTCCTATTTTAATCTGCCATTTTTGCCACAGCAAAATATTCTCCCATTTATCCTTCTAATTTCTCCATCACAATTTTCTACAGCAGAAACAGTGTAGAACAGTCTGTATATTTGTGCAGTGCGCTGCAATGAGGCCCAAGTGCCAGATCAGGCCTAGAGTCCCTGCTTCTGTACTGCACCATAAAAGCTCTAAAGATTGTCTTTAAATTAAATGTAGAGGGGGGAGCAAGTAAAAGACACCTGTTGAAAAGAAATAAACACACCTCTGTTACATTTTTCCAGCAGTTTCTGTTGCTTATTAACCTCTGTTGCCAAAACTGCTTTTTCTTCTTTCACTTTATTCACCTAGGAACATGCAAAGAACAGATCAAAAAGATGTTTCATTAGTATCACAGGATATATGGCACATTCATAATGCACATAATATTTGCTTTCAGAAATTCAGTATCTTAGAATTAGCTTGATATTAGGGCTTACAAGGGGATATAAAGAAGTTTTACCCCCAAATGATGTGCCCCCACTTCAGACAGCATTAAAGGGTTATGAGATGACACCTCACGTGAGGCTCTCATGGCCCCTTCTCATGGCACGTACCAGTCGCAGCTGCAAACACAAAGTCTGTGGAATCTTTCACGATGAGGCACCATAGCCCCTGATTAAAAAGTTACTGGCTTGTCCTTGACTGTTTGTATCTTAACACAGTCAGGGCTGCTGGGTGTGTTTTTTTTTTTTTATTTGCTTTCAGAAATTCAGTATCTTAGAATTAGCTTGATATTAGGGCTTACAAGGGGATATAAAGAAGTTTTACCCCCAAATGATGTGCCCCCACTTCAGACAGCATTAAAGGGTTACGAGATGACACCTCACATGGGGCTCTCATGGCCCCTTCTCATGGCACGTACCAGTCGCAGCTGCAAACACAAAGTCTGTGGAATCTTTCACGATGAGGCACCATAGCCCCTGATTAAAAAGTTACTGGCTTGTCCTTGACTGTTTGTATCTTAACACAGTCAGGCTGCTGGGTGGTTTTTTTTCTTTTTTTTCCTGAACTGTTTATTGTCCAAGACCCATCAGCTGTGTCTTTCTGAATGCAAGTGTTACAGCAACAGGAAGAGCCACTCTAAATCCTGATTTGCACCACTACTTGGCTTATCCAGTTTTCAAGTAGGAATTAAACTGCTGGCTCAAAAAGCCAATTTGCTGGTCTAATTACCATGACTGGGCATTGCCCATGGCTAAGATCAAGGATATGCTCAATGTAGTAGCACCAGTAATTAAACCCGGCATTCTCCAAAGTATTTCCGTAGCACACCCACAGGCCCAGGAAAAAACAAACAACAACCAGCACCAAACTCGGGCTGTCAGGAAGGGGAGATAAGTGTAAAAAATATGGGCCCTAGAAGGGATCAGGAAGAGGCACGTGCCAGGGTCAGCAGCAGAGTGTACTCTTAGGGCATGCACCTAGAAGGGGCCTTCTAAGTGGTCCATCATGTGGACAAGCTGGCAAGATTTCCAATTAGATAGTATTCAATTAACTTCACAACTGTGTTTTTTAGCAAAATTAGATACAAAAAGTACTGACTACACACTAACATGGTCTCGCCTTCCATGGTACAATACATACTTCTTCAATTACTTCTACAAGTTTGCACCTCAGGTTTTCCAGTTCAATGGCTAAGGTCTTCTTTTCCTCATGGACAGATATAATCTGATCTCGCAGCTCTGTATTTGAGGAAGGAAATGGAATTTTTATTTTATTTGCAGAGCAACAAAAGCAAAATTGTAATCCTACAAATACAACTGAACACAAAGCACCTTAACTGCAGATAAGGTATCAAGGTACATCCTCAATAATTTAGGAACACAGGTGTCAAGTGACAGATCTATAAGTGGGCTGCAGTTTCAGATTTACTTTATTGAGGTAAGCTTCCCTGTCCAGGGCTGCTGCCTTTATTTGCATTCTGAATGATTCATTCCCTGCTATAATGGGGTCAACTCTGCCACCGCAGAGCAGCCTCAGTCTTAGTCAGGAGACAGCCACATCACCCAGGCTCTAGCACAGACTCTAGGCAGTTGAAAGCAGCTTTTAATAGACATCCTTTAACACAAATTAATGCATTTCCATTCTTTTTGGATCATGAGTTCTTGTCACAAGGGAAATAAACAAAACAACAGGCAGTTAATACTTGGGAGGTTTTCGCTGAAGAAATTGTCCTGAACAGCTGCCAATTTATGGTCTTTGTAACATTATGTGAATAGAGTCAGAGTGTAACCTTTACTGAAAGAAGAGCTTATGTCTGCAGTTTTCCCCTCTTTTTTTCCTTAATTATCAAAATAAGAAATAAATTAAATTCAAAAAACCCACAAATATTTTATTACAATCACTTCTTAACAGGAGATCAGTATGCATATGGAATATATCAAAGCTTAGACTAATATAAAAAGAACACAAAACAAATTTATTGCTGCATATTAGTTTTCAGTTAAGTGTTTTAATTCCCCACATGCTTCCAGAATTTCATATTACTGCTGTTCTTTGAATACCAACTATGAGTTAGGAAAATTGTTAAGAAAATTGTTCCTAATCAGTGGCAGATGATTATGACATATATGATGCCACTTTGTTTCATTTCAAATCTTCACAATGTTGAGATTTTTGCTCTGCTTTCCTCTCTCCCCTTTGCTTCCCTTTCAGAAGCATCAGATCTATTTTCCTCCCCATTAGCAGCACATAAACTGTAAAGTAAGGAGTCAAACTTACTTTCCCAGCTAACTAATGACCCAAGTCTTCTGTTTTGTGTGTTGTCTGGTGGAGTTAATGGAAAATTTCTCACTAAAATTTATGGGATCTGGATTAAGTTGGGTCTTACAGTACATAAATGGCCCTCAATGCAGAGAATGGAGCCTAGCCATGTACCTAAATGTTAAGTCTCTACAAGAATTTTTTTTTTCCAGATACAGCTTATGGACTCAAGTGCTACACCAACACAGTTGACTTTTCAGTTATGTCAAAAAAATTATTATTATTTTTGCTATCCTAAAAAAATCAACCCCCAAATCAGTATTTGAATTTCAGTTATGGCTCTGAGATTGCTCTATACTTCCATTAAGAACCAGATCTCTCCTGTCACCTCCTCCTACTGTATAAAGATGCTCTTCTCCCTTTTTGTTCTCTGGACAAAGTTTTATCACCTTAGTGAATGAAATAGTGTTACTAAAACATTCAGACAATGCTACTTTATTTATATATCCTTCCCTAGACATGTTGGAAAGGGGAAAAAAAATCTTTGCAAAAAATACCCAATATTTTGCTGAATGGTGAGAAAGCTAAAAGAGGTTTGCGATTCCCACCACAGAACTCAACTCTGGGAAGCACAGGCCTGCATAAAAGAACAGATTACAGGCAAGTTTACACCTCTCTTTTGTTACATGTGATCTTTCATTTAGCAGGCAATCTGCTCTGTACCCAGTGCACTCTCAGATTGCTCCAGGAGAATAAATGCCATGCAACTTAGCTGAGGCTTGGGACAGAGATTCAGTAATGACTTTTGGAACAAACTGTCAGATCCTTCTGCCCCCATATATGTACACACTTCTTCCAAGTACATGGACAGCAGAACTTCTACAGCAAATGGGATGTGAATCCATATCTTAAAATGATGAACACAGACATTTCCCTTTGTTGGATACTACAATACAGTAATACATATAGATAGGATCATGGTGACTGTCACAAAGTTAGGCTAGCAGAGAAGGCAGTTTTTGTATGGCTAAAATTGCCAGAAATTTCTTAATAAAGTACCAATTCTGATAACTATGTAATTTAATATTCCCAAGCTTTCTGTTTTTCCTGGTACAGCACTGTTCTTAATTCACTTGTTCAGTAATAATTCTGAAATATGAATGAAGCTTTTGTATACTAAAATATATAATGGAAATATAAATGGAGAGTCCCATCTTAAAGGCTTTGAACAATGTCACGCCAAATGTAAACAGCAGCTGAAGCAATATCAAGGTGACCTTGTCCTTCTGCCCAACTACAAATGAACTTTTACTGTGTTAGGGATCTAAGGAAATGTTTCCTTTGCCAGCTCAGTAACACTGAGCACTCCTGGCTGTACAGATCCCCTTTGCTTGTTGCACTGCAACTTACCTTGTACACATAATATACAATATAAAAACAGGTCTGCCACGTCCTTAAAGCCCTTCTTGGAGATCCTCTCCTGACCGCTGTCAAAGGTATAGTACTGAACAAGGCAAATCTCTAGCCCAAATGAACACCATATTCTGCAGACAACTTTTGTCCTCTGTGTGCTGTAAGCTCAGTAACAATTCTCACCTTTTATTTGGCGTTGGCAATGCACTGAGTTGCATGATCCAGAGCCAGCTTCTGTATCTGCAGATGAATCATCTTCATCAATGTTTATCTCCTCAGTGATAATTTCTGGGCCCAGTTTTGCCATATAAAGCATACTAATTCTTTTCAAGGTCTTATTTTCTTTGTTCAGCTGAAAGTTAAGAAGCATAAAGATAAGAAGCTGCTTAGTCTGCCTTTAAGCTGTGCAAGAAAAAAAAAAATCAATTGTTTTGGTTTTTGCCATTAAAAGATCTATCAAACAAAGAAAAAGAAAAGGGTGACATTAGTTTAAATGCTCCATTTTACACTAAAATGGGCTGAAGATGGGAAGCTTGTCCTCTTTCTCCTCTGAGGAGGCTTGAATTCAACATGCTGCTTCATCCGTAGCCTTTTCTGTGAGGAAACACATAGTCCTGTGTGGTACTTCTGACTAATAAATGCCCTGTGTAGCTTCAGCTCAACTGTTAGACTTGCTTCATGCTGTGTGTTCTTTGCAACAGCTGCTTTAACTCTTGAAACATGTTGATATTGGTACAAGAGCCCCAGCTGAATGACCTGAAGGGCCAGCATGCCTCAAAGCTTGCCTAGCTTTGCCACCCATATCATTCAGTCTCATCTTTTCCTACACCCTTATTCTGCTTATAAACAAGTATCAAATACCACAACTATTATACAACAGAATAACCTTATAACCTTTTTGAGTTACTCTCAATTTTCTGCATAATTATTACTGTATAAACAACAAATGTGAAACGAAAGCCATAACACAGCGTAATTCTTTATGGGTCAAACCACAAGTCAAAATCACTCTGGGCAGTTGTGCTGGATGTTTAAGTGCATCCAGTGGTTGGTGGAAGATAAGAAGAGGTTTTCTAAAACACTTCCCTGCCTCAACCAAGGTGGTTACTGGTGGCAGGAGAGATTGAACAACAGGGATTGTTGCAACTGTTTAACATTTTCCTCACTGCTCAGCACCTACACACTCTGTGCTAGCAGATCTCAGCAAGCTCAACACAGTCTCTGGGGTGCTCAGGCACATATAGATGTGACTGCCCACCGACAAGACAAGCACTCCCTGTGGTCACTTCCAAGAACAAGGCTCAACTTTCCACTGACGACACAGAGCACATCCACGCTGCAGTCCAATTTCTGCCTTGAAATAAAACATATACTGCACAGTTAGATCCCAATTTCTTTATCCAAGCAAATCATCTTTTATCCCCCTTTCCTCAGCCCCTTGAAAGATTTACTCAAGTACTGCGGAAGATTTACTCAAGTAAAAAGTTCCTTCAACATCTCATTCCCAAAGAGCAGGACTGAACAAGCGGGAAGAGTGATGTGGGGAATCTTCCATCCTTTAGTGAGCACTCGCTAACAAATGAGTCAGGTTTGGTAAAGCAGCCCCAAATGGGGCTGGTCTTTCAGCTACCTCTATGTGCATTACAGGAAAAGGGCAGATAAAGAAAAGATAAATACATTCATTTTCTTACTTATATGCTGATTGTCTATCTTATGAATTCTAATATAGTGTCATTACGCAAACAATTAAGTAAATACCTCCAGAAGGTACATTGCTAATGCATCTAAATTAAAGTGATTTCTTGCTAGTGTGATTTTTACCATATCTAAAGATGTACTTTGGGCAGGGGGGTGGGGAAATGAGAAAAAAAAAGGCAGTCAGTATTGCTAATGAAATTTGGTTCAAAATTGCTGTAATCCATTTTCTGATGAAGTGGCTCAGACGCATTTTACACAACCAAAAATATATAACAGAGATAAAAACATTCTTTAATAATAATGCACTTCTGATGAGATGGAATATAGAAAATTACACACTTGCTAAATTCATCAGACTAGATGCAATCAGCAGAGCAGTGGAGGTCACCTTTCCCCTGCCCTCACTTTGCTTTCATAAACAGTCACCTGGAACGTAATTCAGTGGTTGACTTTTTCCATTTGATTTAGGCACTGAAATGCTCATTACTGCTCTATATCTCACATGGGATGGTTCTAAAACTTGTTTACCATTTAACCTAAAAGTGCATAAGAACTAGGTATCAAGAAGTTGGGCCATGACTTACTGTTCAAAAAAAAAAAAAACCCACAAAAGCGCCATACATAAAGTGGGCATTTCTTTCATTGAAAGCAAGAATTGCATTTTAAATCTTGCATACATCTTACAGTTCTTATCATCTTAAAACTATTTCACGGATCTACAAAAGCATACCAAAACAACGTAGAGGACATGTATGTCTTAATTTTGCAATCTCAAGATGAATGAAAAAAATCAGAGGAAACAGAATAACCATAATTCTCCTCACCTTGGAAGCCAAAGCCTCAGCACTTTCACGGCATGTCTTCTCAATTTCAAGATGGTTTTGAATACAGTTTACTTCCTCAATAACCATGTGAGAAACTAGGGAAGAATTTAAAAATTAGTCAGTGTTTTCCAGCACTTGACACATACATCTCATGATCAGAAATCCTACTTTTTTTTTCCCCCCCAACTCTTTTTGCTAAATTTTCAATGAAAGCATCCTGAACTCAGAGAGTACATACTTACAAAACCTTTATGGATGGGAACTGTTTTGAACATTGAATATTTGCACCGTTTCAAGCAGTTCTCTCTTAAGCCATGCCTGCAGCATTACAGAAGGTCAACTGGCAAGATGAATTTGGCATAAATTTAAGGAAGCAGAAGCCCAGCAGACACTTCTCTAACCATTACCATTTACCATTCTTATTTCAGCCATACTTGAGGAGTCAGAGGAGCATCATTAGGACTGTCCCTCAAGATTGTCAGAAGCCATTTTAACCCTCTTGGAACTTTGGTGTGTGTGTGCGCATGCAGTTTTCAGAACACTGGAACATTAATACTTTTGAACAGCAATTTTAACTCGAATGTGTTATAAAGGAATTATTTTCCCTTTCCCGTCTTCAGGTTTAAACGCTATCACTCTTGCTAAATATACTGCACCAGAGAAGCTCCAGGATGGACGTATATGGAGAAAAGAGTTACTGGACTGAAGGCTCCTCATTTTCAGCGCCTGGTACAGCACAAAAGGAGACAAATCACTGCACTGCCCTGTCTTCTTCCACTCCATCAGCTACTACCTCTGTGCTACTGCATTTGACTTTGCTGTTGGAAGAGCAAGAGATGCACCTATCCCTGATGCCTTAGAGAGTACCTATTATCCAGGGAACACTCGACCACATCTAAGAGAAATGTATCCTTAGAGTGACCAAAAATATATCTTATTTTTTAGGCAGGAAGTAATGGGAGGTAGAGAGGTTTTAAAAGCACAAATAACATTTAACTTATAAAGCCCCTTTCAAGGCTCATTAAGCACCTATGTACAAACTGCTGAAAATCTCCTCTTAAGCGGCACTGGTAGAAACTTCTTCCTGCCCTCCACCAAGAATATCCGCACACACGGTGAACAAGAATGATGCAACTTAACAATGCCTAAAGTTTGGAGGAGGATTAAATTTATTTGACATCCGGACATCTTAATGACTGCAGAAGATTTTAGGATTGGAACATGCAGGTAGCTAAGAAGTTTTACTATTAATTTAAGACCGTAATTTTACTGATCCTACTGTAGTTAGCAGCATAAGGAATCATCAACATTTTGGAGTTCGCTGTCAAATCAGCAGCTGCATGTGAGTGACAAGATCTGCAAAGCAAGAACAATTTTCACATTGCGCTTTATGATGACTTCTGTTTTAAAAAAAGAGTTTCTTGGACTGCTAACTTCCTTCCAAAGTCCAAAGGAAATAAAAAATAATAATAATAGGACAAAGAATTGTGAAATCTTGGTCCCCACACCGTTTGTACAAGACATCTTTCAATCACAGAAAGACAACCAAAGAGAAGTGGTTGCTCTCCTACCACTGTTTCTGCCTTTGGGATACGTTTTCTGCTCCAAGCCTGTTCATTTAATTTAAGAGACCTAAAGCTTTAGGTAAATCTTGTTCTTACAGAAGACATCTCTTCTGTTGTTGCTCTACCTAGATACAGAGAACTGGAGCAACAAAATGCACTTGTGCAGATGCAGGAACAGTAGAGATCCTTGGCTGTCCCGTTTTTACACGCAGGAATCTAATGTCCTCAACCAAAGCTAGAGCTAAAGTTAGGAAACAAGGCCTGGGCCCGCATAGCACAACTAGGAATTACTCTTGGTTCATTTAAACTTAATTAACCTGCAATTATGATTAACTCAGGGGAAGAAAAATCTTTCCAAATTAAATACAAAAATATATTATTTCCTAAGTCCATCCAAAGTTCTTATTATGTCAATATTAAAATTCATAAAGCAGCACTAAGTGGCCTGAAACATCTCTAACCTTGACAGTTTTTTTCAGGGGTAATAATAATCCGCAGCAAATGCAGGCCAACCAAAAACCACTTAACTAATTAGTAGTTGCAGTCACCGAGAAAACATGAATCAACACTGTTATTACAAGTGGCACATTTGAGTGGCATCTAATTATGACTTGATGAGCACGATACTTGCATTATCAACATTACTACTGCATCCCATCAGGGACTAAAAGCCGCTGATGGCATTGACTGCGAGCAACTCCCACTCAATGGTACCGCAGCACCCAACAATCTCCTTGGCAGGGGCACCCTCACTAAATGACATGTTAAGCGTAATTACTGGTAGACATTGTAAATAAACAGGATTGGAAGTGAAAATTGTACCAAGTGCATAAGACACAATCTGACACATTGGAAGTGGCAGCCTTAATTGAGAGTTTCTTTGACTGCTCAAGATCATTTCAACTGCATTTCTCGGAGGACAGTGATTATAACTGTGGAGACAGACGGCATAATGGTATCAGCACTGCTGACAGAGCAGTGAATTAAATTGTATCTGCTGTTGTGTGAAAGCCTTGATGAGAGGTACAGATCCTTAGTGGTCTTATCATTATAACACAATGGTCATGTTGTCATCAACCTTGCTGGCTCCAATTGAAAAGAAATGATTGTGTGTTGAAGCTTTCCCCCCCACCACCACCTTCTATCTCTCGTGCTCAATAGAACCAATTTTCAGAGAGCTATGAAATCACGCAATAGGGCCTAAAATGCAGCTGCTTGGCATACAAACGGGGCCCCATTAAACTGGAATCACACACAATATGTGTTTATGCCAGGAGAACAAATAGAAGCTGAGTACAGGCCAAGTTTATTCACAGACACAAAGCCGATGTAGCTCTTCATCAATATAATTGCCTTTTATATTGTCGTTTAAATAATGGGCTCTATTATTGCCTTAAAATCCTAATATTCCTGGCATTTTACCACTATGTTTACAAGGTATGTCCTTTAAAAATGTGAAAGGAAGATAAAAGAAACCTATAAAATTTTACAACATCAAATATTACTTCAGATTTTAAGTCTTAACTACTTGACATTTTCTGCCACACTCTGGTATCCCTTGTATCATAACAAAAACAAAACAGGCTGCAATTTTTTTTTCCATGGGAATAAGACTTCTTAGAGAAGACTACTGCCTCATAGAATAGTTACCCAAGATCATTGAAGGCAGTAAAAGTTCCCTGTTGATTTTTAATTATTTCCCATAATTATATCATATGGACAATTATAAAATCGAAGTGAGAAAATCCCTCTATTAATGCAATCACACAAAAGTACCAATCATGTGATTTCCTTATCCTGCATTAACTTCATCCACATTTCTAATGCTTCGGCGTGCAGCTCACTGTGCTGGCACAAACCAGACATAACAGACCACAATCCCATTGTAATTGTCTTTCTAAGGAGCTATTCCACCAGGATACTTCCACTCCCATTAGATGTGCTTTGTTGCTTCCAGACACCGTACAGTTTCAATAGAACCATTACCATAAAAGCGCAAAACTGAATATTGACATTCTCAGACTAGACAAAATAAAACTTGCCATAAAAATTACTGAGACACATCAGTTCAAACTAAAAACCTTTAATGCTGTTTCCGTTCTTAGAGTAATTTTACTCCTTCATGGGGAAAATATATATATATATATATCTCAATAGCAGCAGTAGTCATTTCAGCAATAGGGTCAAATCCTACTTGGTTCAAGCAGATATTAATCCAAGAGTCTTGCAGTTTTCTGGTGAGCTACAGCAGCATTTGTATCACTATATTTTCACCACTAGCACCTTAAGATGGGTAGCTGTTTCACAGTAAGTTCTTCCATGGTAAGAGCCAAAGTCTTAGAAGGTTAACTCCTAGAACAGGGCTTTGAAAGAGAAACAGCAACAGAAAGTTGAAACCTCAACTTTCTCAACCCTTCATGCTTCTCAGGGCTATGTTCATAGGTCTTTATGCCAAATGTTAGTGCTGACATATTAACTTACTTTTCTGAAACTCCTCCAGTTTTTTGACAGCTTCATCTCGTTCTTGTTTGATTTTGTCACACTGCAGAAGAAAAAATTGAAAAGAAGCACTGATTCCAGTTATTTAATTAGCCATCAGTCACAACATGCAAAATCAACAAAGACCAATTGCAGGAACAATAATGTACAGACATCTATCAAAGCAATTTTTTTTGCTTTCAGTCCTGTAAGATCAATGAAAAATATGCATAAAAATGTTATCCAGAGTATCTCCTACCAACACTGACGGTTGCACTTGATTTTGGGCTGCAATTAAGAGCTACTGTGGAATTATTTTAAAGACCCACATTATCCAAAATGAATATAAGGAAAAGCATCATATAGTAAATTCATACTTTCACGTCATGAAAACCTTGTAAGGCTAATTTCTCTAGCCTTTATTGATTAGAAACAGAGCCCTACATTTCTATGCCTAATACGCACAAAAAAAAAATAAAAAAACAATAGACAGGGACATCTCATTCAGTTTCATAATATTGTGAGTAAAGCTTTAGACATACATAGGGGAAGATACTCGTTAGAGAATTTCTCATTATCCTTTTCATTAATTTGGTGCTTCATGCTAATATGATACATAATAATAAAATATGCTAATATGACTGCAATCATTGCTCTTAGGATGGAAAGATTTCTTCAAAGAGAGAACAGAAGAGCCATTACCTCACTTTTGGAAAACCCCTTCTACAGGCAAATGAAAGCATTTGAAGAAACGAGTAAACTTCTCAGGGCACTGTCAATGACTAATGGCACCGTGCAAAGCGCATGATCCCAGGGGAAGTGGGGCTGGCACACAACCCACCCCATGCACTGCGTACACTGTTCCTCACACAGAGCTGCATGTGTTCATAGCAATTTATCATCTTACATTAACTTATTAATTGTGGAAGAGATGCATGTGACTAAGTTCCTTAAAACGTAACTATTTCAGCAACTACAACCATTCTAACCATTGCAACAGAGTTGCAAGCAAAAAGAAAATAAGAAAAGAAAAATAAATCTACAATGATTTTGATCTACTCTCACTTCTTCTACAGGAGGATCCACTTTCAGTTAGCTGTGAAAGGAGGATGCTGTTAAATAAGAAGAGGGGGGAGTCTGATCCATACACGTCTGGACACATGGAAATGCCTGCCCTAGAGGACTTCTGATGGATCCCAAAGAACAACCTGCTCTTGGACACATCAGTGTTGCTCCCTGGCAGCCTCCGCACAGTGTTGGGAGCTGGTGCTGATCGCTCTGAGAGCAGCAGGAGCTGCACTCAACAGGCAGCCTCCACTCTCTGGGCACTGGGGTGAGGAGGTGAGTCACCTGCTGCAGCAAAGGTCTGCGGAACAGGGAAGAGGCGTGAAAGCAGCAAGCCAGGCTGCTGAAGAGGTGCCACGCGAGAGCTTATGGGTTCACCTGCTGCCGTGGGGAGTTTACAAAGCTGTGTAGAGCATTTTGCTTAGGAAGGGTGGGAAGGGAAATCTCAGCCGAAATTCCCCTCTTACCTCTCCGGCAGAGGCGCAGCCTGAGAGCAGAAGGCAGCAAGAGGCGCAGGGGAAGCGTTTCTGCCCGCGCCGCCGCGCGGCTCCCACAGCCTGAGGCAGAGACGCGGTGCCGCCCAGGGCCGCGGCGCCCACGGGCTGCCCTGTGGCGAGCGCGCAAGGCTCCCTGCCGAAACCAGGAGCAGGGGGATTTTTAAAGACCTGATCTTTTGCCCGCAGAAGTCAACAAGAGGCTTCCTACTGATAGGGGGGAAAAAAAAAAATAGTGATGTAGAGGATGTCCCCATGCAGCAGCAGACAAAACTCCTCTCAAAATCCTCCAGGAATGTGAGGTGAAACAGCTTCCACGTGCAGCTAAGGGGCCGCTAAATGACCCAGGGCACTTCACCTTGAGTGCCATTTGTGGCAGAGCTCCACGTGGACCACAGCAAGCTGGCTGTTCTCCCACTAGTCACACACATTTCTTGGCACAGTCAGGGACTGCAAGTTTGGGTCCCCACAGAACAATTCCTGCTTCTAGTTGCAGCTTTCCGAATATTTTTCTTTTGCTACTGCTGTGTTTCAGAATAAAAGAGCAGGAAGAAAAGGAAAGTGGGAGATTGTGGCCCTTGCTGGAATGATCACTGGAAAGCACTTTGCCTTTTGTCTTGCAATCAGACCTGTTCAAGCAGGCCCCTGTTCCACAGCCCCTACAAAAAAATATTGGTTTATTTCCAGTTTAGCTTAAAAATAAATAACAATATAAAAGTGTCAGCTATTCATACTGTTTAAATCTAGAAAGTTGTGCAAAAAAAATTCATATAAAATATTTCAGATCCATAATAAGAAACATTGCCTCCACTTGAACAAATCTTACAATTAAAAGAGGAAATAATTAAAAATTAAGAATTTAGACATGCTAGCTGCTCTCAAAAATAAAAACCAGAAGCCCTCAAAATCTTGCTTTTCTAATGAAGCGGCTTGAGGCATATAGAGTAGAATGGTTAACTGACAAGAATATAACTAAACTGGAATGCTGATAAACAAAATAGTGTCACATGATTGTAAAATCTACTGTTGACTTTGTACATTCAAGTACATATGATTGTTGCGAAGAAACAGTTTTAAAGTCCTTCACTAATTCTCTCCTTGTCAGAGCTAGCTTCCACATTCAACAATACCCTCAAATGAACAAATTTAGGTAACTCTTAGATTGTCTGTCATTTCTTCTGATTTTGGCTTGAATTTTTTGTCAAAAGTTCAGGCTCCTCCGCAAAGGAAAATATGTACTTTATCCTTGCATGTATTATGTTATTAATGTAATATTTATAGCACCATTATCTCAACAAAAACAAAACGCTCGGTCAAAATCATCATTTCAGTCCTGAACTATGAGAGTCAATTTTCAAAAGTGATTTTTTTTGCAATATAAATTCACTGCATTAAGCAGTAAATCATAGTTCAGTCTTCTACATTCACTTTGTGACAATACAAGAGCTTTAACAAACACAGCTCTGCATTATAGGTTTTTGCATTCTCTATGCACAAGATATTAGGTAATACTGAAGCAAAACCCAAATTTTCTAGCAACTCACCATGCAACTACCATAAAATCTAAGACTTTCAGAGATCTGGACTTCCTCTTCTTTGAAACTCCATTAGTGGAAGTAGACATTCAGAGACTGACACCTATTTTTCTCCTTAGAGAAAAGATGACTTCTAAAACAGTATAATCTGTAATGTATATATTAGGCTGACTACTTATAACAAGTCACATAAATGCCAAAAATTGGTGTTCAACCCAAATACCACGTTTTGTGAGGTGAGCAGCAGTGCATGAACTTTTTGGAACTAGCACACCAGCCAGCATGAGAACCTGACCCTACAGCATGATGTTGGGATGTTGCTGCAAGAAACCACCTGCAGCTCTGAGGAGACACAGTCCTCTGGCATGTCCTCTCCTTCCAGTCTAACTTTTTTTGCCACTAATTTCCAGGGGGACTGGATTTCTTGCCTATTCTCTTGTAATATTCTTCTTTTCCTCCCAACTATTGTGTACTCCCTGGCATAAGCTCCTACTCACTAAGTAAAGGGCCTTCAAAGGGCAAAAACAAGGAGGAGATTGTTTGGAAATGGCTTAATTCATTATATATCCACTGTGTGAACTTCTTGCATCTTAATGTTCTGTGCTGAACAACACAAGATACATTCTTTCCAATTTATACAAATTATAGAATTTATGTTGATTTTATGCTAGTTCTAAAATTATGAATACAGTACAGTGCTCAAAAGCATGCCATGACATTTGCTGTTCTCTGCTTACAGAGAGAATGAACATGTCATCAAGACACAACCCCTTCTCAGTTCCCATTTGGTGACAAAAGCACAGGAACAGAATGGATTATATGTTAACAGAGCAAACACCATGAATGCTGTATCAGAGATACAGTATTACATCTAGTGTTTTGGAAAGCTGTCTTGCCTTTTTTTCCCCTACTGGCAGGGTGACAAAACACTGTCAAAACCAGTGCTCAGAGTCATTTCTGTCTGATTAGCAAGTAGTCAAATATTATTCATGATCTGACTCTCAATACATCAGAACTGCATATTAATGTACCCACATTTGTGTTCAACTGAATGCGAGATATCTAATTTTGGGACTGGTATGCATGTTTAGTTGGCTACTTCAATTAAAAGGATGACCTAAAAGAGGTAATCTACCACTGTCATTTTTGCTCCAGTTGTTGAAAGTATTTAAAATTGCTGTTAAAAGAAATGCTGCATTAATTTTGTCAGAGACTCCACCAGAGGTCTCTAAATTGACAGCTTAGTGAGGGAATGAGGAAGAGTCACTGCTGATCAAAGACTTTATTCTTTGCTTTTTGCATTTCCAAAGTTATTAGCATTTTAAAAAGCAGTGTTTTGAACAAAGTAACCTACATAACAGGCAACTTACCTTCTGATCTTAAAAAAAAAGTAGAAAATGAAAGCTACAGAGCTAAAAAATAGATTAGGTCTGATTGTAAGATAGCTATCTGTTCCACATTTCTAATATAAACTAGGATCATTTTTTCCACAAAAATAATATTGTTTGGCATAGCCCTCTCCCAGCACCATATAAGCGTAATGGTGATTTAGAATAAAATTGCACTAGACTTACCAAAAGCACATACATATAGACCTCCATTTAATTCTGGTGTGGTACTTTCCACACATGATCCATAAATCATTTAAAAAGAATTAGCTCTCTCTTACCTTCCTCCTGTCAATGCAATTACATTATCATAATTAATATAGGGGAAACAATTTGCTTATGCTCATACTGACAGTGGCGAAAAACAGAAACAGAAGTTCACTGGCAATTTCAAGATCTGCAGGCAAAGGTACCCTGTGTCACACTTTCTCCAACTTCCATCTAGCTTTGATTCTGCAAAATATTAACTAAGGTATAAAGGTAGATGTTAAGGAGATTTCAGGATAATCCCTACAGTAATATGAGGAAAGAGTTGTTCAATACTAGCACTGTATGTAAACATAACTATGAACTCTATATCAGTAGGTTATTTTTGTAGAAGAAATGCACTTAAGGCTTCCTACATAACCACTTGAGTCCAAGCACTTTTGCAGACAATTAAACAGAAATGTTTACATAAGCATACCAATCTGCAGGATGGAGGTTCTTACATCCCAGTAGGGCAAATTAGTTAAGCACATGCCCCATGTTGGAGCAGTCTCAATTGTTATTCAACTATTAAAAAACAGATCTTCAGAAGAAACATGCAGAAAAGAGACTGATATGTAGAATTAGAGTAAACAACTCTTGTGAAAGAGAGAGAGGTACAAAAGAGGAAAAAAGCAAGAATGTAGGAAATAAACTCAGAATATCTCATTTCATGTTGATTTTTGGAAATAAAATTTCTCATTCAAGTTCTCTTCAAGCTGGAAGACCACTGTGTTCCAACTGAAATTGCAGTCCAAGAAAAGCCTCTTTAATTCCCCCAACAAACAAAGCTTTGCTGAAGGAACAGCAAGCTTGCAAGAGTCACAATCATGGCAAAGAGGGGGAACTCATTTTTCTATATGGAGCAGGTTAACTGCTAAGCTGCTTAAACGTTAGTAAAGCTAAATCCATGAGCCCGGACAAATTCAAGGAAAAGGAAATTACCAGAAGTAAAACATACAGAAACAAAGTTCAGGAAGTTCCTGGGCTACAAACAGGTTGGAGACTGGAAGTGCACTCCAGGGATGCAATATATGTGATCTTATATTCCCACCTCTGCTGCTGTTGTCCACAGGATACCGCACTACACATATCCTTGATTTAACCTAGTTTGATCCTTTTTTAATTCCCCGCCCCGAGCATTAGGAAATTAGTTGCCAGTCTTCCTACTGTAAAAGGAAGACAGATTCCCAAGGATATCTGAAGCTCTGGTGCAGGAGAGCAGGACAAGCATGCACTGTAGGAAAGACAAGGTCAGTGGGTAGGAGAGAGTGAAGCAGAAATATGCTCAGCTCAGTCTAAATATGTCCAACTACTGCTAAAATTTAATAAGAAGTTAAGCTTCAAGTTTTCTTTAGTAATGAGAAAGTGGTCAAGGACAAAGTCCTTCTGTTAGAGTCTGGAATTGCAACATTCAAAGCAGCTAGACTAAAGGTGGCCCTTCACAAATGGTTTCACAACGCAAAACTAAACCCACATTCCTTGGCAGCTAATAGGCATTGGGAAAATAACACGCACCCTGCATCCCCTGCCCACTGATACTACAGAAAGGGGAATTTCCTTTACTTACAGTACAGAATAGCACTGCCCCCACTGCCTTCCTCAGTATCTAGAGCTGATAAGAGGCTTTTACTGCCCAGTTTCTTTTGGCAGACACCTGCTAAAACTGCTTTGCACATTGCCGGGGCTTTACGCAACACAAGGCTGCCGGGAAATCTCTCTCAGCACAGAGCTCTGGTCTTTGACTTCATCTCAGAAGGCAGGTAACATTGAACGAATGAGTGTCCCTGTGGGGCTTGCAGGGGGAAAAGAGATGCATTACTTCACATGCTTAATTTCCTACTGCAAAGACTGCTTATCATAAGCGTACAGATAAATAGAACATGGTCAGTATTTCTCATCCCAATATCACTGCATATCCAGAAATGAAGCCTACAGAAATGCACGAATTTGCGCCCAAACATCCAAAGCCTCTTTTTAAGTTGGGCAGAATCTTTTGCGGTTTCACAAAGGGGTATGTGACAGGCTGAGGATGTGTTTTATGCTACAGCACCTTTCTGCCAGTTGAGATAAGGCATCTTTTCAAGCGCACATATTTTCCTTCTGAGCAGTGTTTGGGATGAACATTGATGGCTTTAGCAAACACTTTCAACTACTTTATTTGATAAGTCTAAATGAGTGGGGATTTCTGTCTTTGAACTGGACAACTAATCAAGGAAGCTTTTGCTTTTTTCTCCCCCTCCTTTTTTCTTTCTGAAGTTTCACTAAGTTGCACAGAATAAAGGGAGATCGCATAACTTTGCATAGTACATTCCCTAACTCTTCATTTCTCTTGTCCTTCTATTACAACCAAATACTTGCCTTACATCCAGATTTCTCAGTAGTTACTCTTACTGACCAGCTGTGAGATTGTCCTTTCATCAAAAGGCTTGTGACAGTCTTTTTCCTTTGCCTACCAGCAAGAAGCAGCTCGAATTTTATCTAATTTCTCGAAAAGGATCCACTACCCAGACAGATTCCCAAATATCTTTGCCCAGCTACAATGAATTTGTAACATGGCAACAAATCTGCTACTGGAATCCTATTTAGGGCTTCTGTTTCATACATTTAAGTTCATGAAGTAAACAATTACCCCTTCACAATCAAGGGGTAGTGCTACAGCAAAGCAATTAAGTGCAGAGGGATTGGAACCATTTGAAAAAATGGCTATAGCTACAATCACTAAGAAAATGTACGTATTAACACCAGCTTTTTAGAGGAAGATAGCTAGAATAGCTGCTGGGAGCTACATTTATTTCTCCTTAAGTACCATTTGCACGTGTATGTATGATGAGCGATTGACACATGTGTGAACAACTTTGAGCTTTTAAAAGCAAACCAACCAAATAAACTCTCATAACCATCGGGTACTTGGATAATTAGCATTTTAGGAATTGAAGAAATAATTGTTAAATACAAACCTCCTCTTTTGTCTTCTTATTTTCTGCTCTAAGCTCTTCATATTCGCCAATAGCTATTAAGGAAACGAAACAAAAAAAGGTGTTAATACTGCAGCATACCCATTACCCAAATCAGTTCTTTTTCATTCATTCTGTAGTTTTTCTGGCTATGCAGACAGAGTTCTTAAATAACATGGGTCATAGACTTCATTAATAGCTTACGGATGAACTGGATATGCTTTTAGAATTGAAGTAATTGAAAAGTGTCCGAAAAAGATGGTGGCTCCCAAAACAATCAATTTTTCATCAATAGCGAGTTAAACAACCTTATTGATTCAGTTCAAAAATTACAAGGTGAATTTACTAGCTCACCATTTTAAACCCACACTGGCTCAGGTTACAGATCAATGCCAGAAAACCTTGTTAATACAATACTGTTACTACAACTGAGTAGTTGAGCACCTTAAACAGTGTTAACATCATCTTCAAACAAGAGTCACAAGAGACTCCCTATGACTTTATACTCCACTACAGAGATATGAAAAGACTGGATTTTTTTGCCCAATATCACACAATAATTCAGTGATGGAGCAAGGGATCAAACTGAGGACTCTGGAGGTTCCTTGTTTCATATTTTTGAATCAGTTAAAAAAATAATAATAACTTGTTACCAGTTAAGCTTCTGCTTTACGCTATATTTTTGTGTGCCTTTTTAAAATCTTTTTGTTTGTTTTTAAACACTCCTAGAGACACATCTTAATTGCCACGTACACTTTCTATTTTCCTGTGTGCATGTGTCCCATATGGACCGCTTAGTCTTCAAGGCCATATACATTTTATTGTTATTTTAAAGAAACCAAATACATCTCCAAGCACTAGACTGCCAGAAAGGAACATTGTACAATCCTTAATGTGCATACTGCAAGAATAAAACCAGGTGTCTCTAGACATTATTCTACATCTTATGGCAAGCCCCCTTCATCTCTTTGTTATTATGTTTGTATATAGAAGAAAGCTACATCAGAACAGAGTTGTTATTTCAAACAGATTTAATTAAAACTGGACAAAGGGGTTGAATATATTCTTTTGCATGATCCAGATAAAATTGGGATCACCAGCTTCAAGTTCCAGGCATAGCTGAGTCCTGTAACACATTCTGTTTTGCATTTGCCACTAGTGAAGATCAGAGAGACAGGATCACAGCTTTCAGCTGGCACAATCTCTCCTGTTGAGGCTGTATCTTAGCCTAACATGTCTTACCCGGTATCTGCAAGCACAAACATACAGTCAGGTAAATCTGCTACCTGAAAACCTACTACTACTTGCTGGTTGTGCTGGAGCACTAAATATCAAAGCAGTTTCAAACAGCTTGCTGTTGTGCCTACCTTAGGATTTATTATTACTCCCATCCACAGCATAGAGGTACCTCAGAGGTTGAACACGCACATGAAAAACTTCCTCAAATTATCCTAATTCTCCTTTTGCTAAACTGGCCCTGTGTTAGAGATGCAGAACTGAGGCACTAAGAGGTTAACTGACTTGCTTAAGGTTATATAGGAAGCCTGGGATACAGAGAGCAGTTTTAGCTCTGCCCCGACCAGTGCTGCGGAATTGGCAACACCTACTGACTGCATTGCCTAGAAATGGAAACTGGGGAAAGCTAGAGATGAGAAAACACTTAGCCAAAATCTCAACTCTGCTGTTACCTGCAGCTAGGAGGTTGCAATCGGAACTAACAGATGCATAATAAGTAAACAAACCTCATTTCTGCAACGAACCACTAGTTTTGTTCTAAGCTGTGGAAGCCACAAAGTTTCAGTGCTCTCAAAGGAGAAAAAAACACAAATGATAAAAAGGGAAATAAAACCACAGAAGACAAAACCACAAGCCATATGCAAACTCACAGGAAGCCCTGACAATTTAAACAGATGAATGATAAGGAAAAGCTTTGTCAAGTAAGAGGGGCTTTCTAAGCCGCAGTAAAAGCAACGCCTGCCCCGCTCCTCTCCACCTTGTTCCCACCTATGAAATCCCTCCCCATCCTGCAGATCCCTCCCGTATTTGCTAGTTAGAGACTATATAATGAGCTGTGTGTGCCTGTTATGTAACAGCGTGTGCCTATATAACACTGGTTGAGTGTCACGGGCATGTGACCAGGTATCTGAAAAGCTAAAAGGCAAGTGACAGGGGAGGCTGCACTGCTGGGTTCTCCTGAGTGCAGGCAGTAACTTCTGGAATCCTCTTCTCCCCAGGCAACAATTTTCACAAAATTTAGAGGAACTTTCTATCTTCATTGCCCTTACCCATTATCAAATATATTTTCAGCAGAGGGAAAGATGAGGCAGAAACCAATATGTAGATGAACAGGGAAGAAAGCAGGTTAATGTATTTGCAAAAAGTGAAAAGTGAACACCACAGGTTCCCTGCAAAAGAATGTGCCAATTCTTCTAAGCTGTTTCTGTGCTCCCTTTAGGAAAACAAACAGCAAATTCTACAAGCCAGCCTCAGGATGAAGGAGAAAGTGAAAGTTGTACCAAGAGACAGGGCTCCTTCATGCTTGCAGACTGCTAGCATTTGTTTGCCCTTGCTTAAAGCAAACACCACCTTGCTACTCAATACTGCATAAATGACTGAAAACATAAACGAGGCATTTCTGATTTGTCCCACCCTCGGCAACTCTCCCCACTCGCTCCACCAGCCAGCAAGTCTCATGTCCTTAAGGCACGGACACGAGAACACGTTAGCACAGGACAAGTCAGAATGGGAACCTACACGCCAGGATATGAACTTACCCAACACCCCAGCAATCCACAGCACTTGCTCACCTATACAT